CTGCTGATGGGCGGAAATTATTGCATCTCATCTTGATCATATGTTATCCTGTGTCATGATGCATTTTGTCGAAAAACATGTCATGGCACCACTTCTCCCTCTCCCTCTCCTTTTTTTTCTTTCTTTCTCCCCGTTGAAGCCGAAACCCGGGCTCGAGTATGATGACTTGATATCCTCGGCGTGTGTTTTACACTGCCGGAAGCCAATTTGCGGGCTACTTGTAGACTCCGGGCTGTGTGCTCCGAGCGTCTAATAGTTACGGAGAGTCTAGCCGGAGAGGCCGCGCTACGGGGTCGGAGATTCTTGGAGATGAAAGTCGGCATCTTTTGTGTAGAGCACAGTAAATACGTTTGAGTTGGTCGGCGGCTACATGTGGATTCCGGGCAAAGTTGCCAGAGCGATCAGTTCGACGATAATCAGGTTGGTGCTAAATCACCCGCTAGCAGGGAGAGGCATGAAACTAGTAGCAGGATGAAGCAAGAGAAGCGAGGCTTTGAGGCTCACCCGAGAACTCACCGTGCTGTACGGGAATTAACGGCGGCAAGAAGACGGAAAAATGAAAAGTGAAAATTGGAAAAGAAAAAAAAATGTTGTGGGATCCAGTGTTCCAAGATTGTTGAGACGGGAAAAGTTGTCAATGTTGCAAAAGCCAGGGCCTGTCACATCCCGTGCTCGAGGCGCCATCTAGGATTCGCAGATCACATTCACTATGGAGCATATCAAGGTAGCATTACTCCGTAGAGCATCTCTAATAGTGATCTCGATGGATGACACATGAAAAGAAAAAAACCAAACAAGAAAACTTTTCAAATAATGGGACTTCTTGATGTGGCATCAGCTTCGAGGCGGTGGGCGATTCAGCTTGTGATTTCCCTTATCTCTTGCGCTATTATGCCTCAAGACTCGGCCGTTTTTTATTTTTTATTTTTATTCTCGTGCCCCCTTGCAAGGCCCGGTTTCCAAGGTGGATGGACGCAGGGTCCCTTTTTTTTGGACGGCCCGCAAGGAGTTCCACTGATAGCAGCAAGATCAGCCAGGGCGGGTATCAAGCTAGAGAGCCACTCATGGGACCCCCTGGCTGGGCACATGGGCTTGGTATCAGACAGCTTCGAGATGGCGTTTTCGATGCCGAAGCTAGTAGCAGCTGCGGGCTTTGATACGAGCTTGATATGGCCTCTTTATCTGGTTTGACGATAGAGTGTTGCGGAGGAAGAAGGTTGGCATTGCACCGGTAGTTGGTTGTTGTGGACTTACATGGAGGCAGAGTGAGATGCTGATGATGCTGATGATGATGAGGTTATTGCGGCCTTTTGGAATTTGTCATTTGCGGCTGATGATGGATTTGTATAAGAGGAAGCCTCGGTAGCTAAGCCTTACCAGCAAGATTAATCCATTGATAGCATCAGAAGCCAAGTCTCGAACTAGCGACAGTAATGCCTTGGTCATGTCTCCACCGCGCCGCAGACGGCCGGACAATCAGATATATTACAGCGGCTATATCAAAAGAGATGCGCTGGCCGAGAGTCAAGGCAGGCTGAGTCTATCGGGATGCAGCCCAAACGAGGCTGACTGTGACCTGCAGCGCGCGACGGATCCAGGCTCTCTGGTGAGAAGCTGACCTCTTCTCTCGCAGCCCAAGAGGGTCAGCTGGCGGTTTGAGAGTGAGCACTCGATGAGATATTTATCCGCCGTTGCACTCGGTTGAGTAGAAGCACAGCAAAGTAAGCTGCGATACGCCATCAAAGTGAGGGGAGCATCGCAAGCACTGCCTCACGATGCAATACCAAGCCGTCGCCGATCCATACAAGCACCGCGATCGATAGTGCCAAGGGCTTGGAGATGCTTGGGAAAAGCTTGGATGACGCTTAGAGATGCTTGGAGGTCCAAGTATCGTAGGTACCCAGCGGTACAGAACCGCCCGGGCAAATAGCCGTCTTGTCGTGTGCGTGCGAGAGCCGGTTGTTCTATTTGCCTATTAACCTGGTCCGATGCCGGGGCGGTATCTCGTGGGACAAGGCTTGTGTCGACGTGAGTTACTGCTTACGAGTGCTAGGAAGTCGTAAAGCTTGAAATAACCATACTTGAAGCGATACGGCAAGGGTTGGATGTTAATACGCATCGAGTATGAAGAATCTGTAATACGGTGGTTACATTCCTGTCAGTGCGCAAGCATCGAGGCGAGGCGTCTGACCCGCATTGGTACATCGTATGAAGTATTTTTTACGCTTTCTGCTGCTCAAAGCGGCAATGCCTGTGCACGAAGGAACTCGCTCCCAGTGTATCCATCCATATTATTAGAAGCAGCACTAACGGCAAAATAAAAAGAGGAAAGGCGAAAAAGAAAAGAAAAAAAAAAAAAAACACAAATTGTCAATGTCATAGTTTAGAAAAAATGGAATTCGCAAAACGCCATTCCGTTTGCAAGCCCTGGCGTCATCTTGACGGTGGCTTTTTTACAAATTTTTCTTTCCCCTTAAGCGCCACGACTCATGGCCAGGAAAAAGCCTTTATGCTTCCCGTCCGGTTTGGCGGCGCATCTGCTCCGTTTTCGGGCTTCCATTCGGGCTTCCATTTTCTCTAAACCTTCGCTCGGGCTGGCATGTGTCAAAGCCCATGCGAGTCTCCCCGGCACTCGGCATTCGCCCGTCATCATGACCTTGATTGTGGCCTGTTGCCGCCTGTTGCCGCTGCACGTACGAGCATGTGCGCTCCGATGCTACGTGAAAAACCCCGTTGGAGCACGATGATTGTGATTTGGGCGGCAGAGAACGAACAACAAAGTGACGAGATCGGTTCGACCTGCACGCTTCCGCCGGGCTCGTTCCACCAAGCCACGGCATTTCGATTGATACTCTATCGGGCGCCCGCCTCTTGGAGCCCCAAGCAGCCTTTATTCCCGTAGGAGTAATACTTGGCCGCTGGTACCTGTAGCCGAGCGTTTGATTGATACGGATGCGGATGCGGACGATGAAATACCCACGGGCTGAGTTCCTGTCATGTCGACCACAGTTCCACACCTCCCTTGGGCTTTCGTCCCCGATATCGTACATGCTTGTACATCTTAGCTGCACGAACTGTAGAGCCCTGTGATTTTCCCGAGGCTTGGCTCCAAAGCCTCTTCCCTGGTCTTCTCCTCTTCCAATCTGCCTACTCTCTTAGTTTCCACTTCTTCTTCATCTCTCGTTCTTCTTCTTCTCTTCTCTTCTCTTCCTCCTTCTTCTCCCTCCTCCAACACATCCCACCAACAAACAAAATCTCTTGCCACCCCCTAGTATTGCGCAATCTGATCGCAGGTCCCGAAGACTCTCTTCGCATTATCGGATCCACCAACCGGGCAACTAGCTGCGAGCCAACAACTTCCGGCTCTTGACGGAAGACCCTTGCTGCGGCGTTTATCGAGGCCCCGCCGCTATCAGTTTGGTCCCTTTTCTCGGTGCCATACGACCGAGAGCGAGGCGGCCTAGGGAGTTTTCCACAGCCAGTCAGCTTTGTCAGTGCGTGTGTGTGTGTCAGAGGCGAAAGGAACAAGCAGAAAATTTGGCGCGTGGCATGTCAGCCCACCGAATCCTAGACCCAACGATCGTCTGGTCTCTGCGTGCTGTCGTGCGTTTCCACCTCTTTATCGGCTCTGGCTTGGTTTTTTCCTTGCTTTTCCTTCTTTTTCCTTTCTCTATACCACTTCATCTCTCCTGATTTTCCCTCTCTGGGTTTTCTTGGCCGTTGTTTGCAATTGCGGCTTTGTCAAACCCGAATCATGCCGTCTTTTAAGCCATTTTCTTCGGTGACAGGACGTCATAGCTATAGTCTGTTTGATGTCAGGTGAGTTTATCTTATCGCAACCCGTCTCTGAGCACAACGCTCATGGGGGCACATTTTGGACAAACTCTCGCCCAAACTGCACAATGCACTTCTTGTCCCTTGGTTGACTAAACTCTTCTGCTCTTATAGATTAGATGATGATTTCATTGTCTTTCGCGGAAACGAACAGGAGTCTTCCGGCCAGCTCCTCAAGGGCGTTGTCGTGCTATGTCTTTCTTCGCCCCTCCGAATGGAAGACGTCCACTTGCGTCTGATTGGGACTCTCCGACTGCAGTATGATTCCCATTCCCCCATCAACCATTCGCCTTACCAGTGTGTACCATGTTCTAACTCTTGTTGTCTGCCACTGTAGTTGGTCTGACCCTGGATCCAGCACACCAGGCGTGACTGGCCAAAGAGTCGACAGATCCATCACCATCCTCGATCACAGATGGCCTGCCTTTGTTGGCACGCACGGCAAGAGTATGACTCTGCCTGCTGGAAACTACGAGTATCCTTTCGAATATACTCTGCCCGGCGACACTGCCGAGAGTGTCGAGGGCATCCCCGAAGCATCCATCACATACCGGCTAAAGGCCACCGTCAGCCGCGGAAAATTTGCCTACGATCTGCACGCCTACAAGCACCTCCGCATCATCCGGACACTGGAGCCCGGCGCGCTCGAGTTCCTGCACGCCATGAGCGTCGAAAATATCTGGCCCAATAAGATTGAGTACTCGATCGTCATTCCGCAAAAGGCAGTTGTTTTCGGAGGCACCATCAATATGGAGATGCGGTTTTCGCCCCTCCTAAAGGGCCTTGAGTTGGGGGACGTTACCGCCAAGATGGTCGAGATTCGGGATTGCTTCATTCAGGGAGCTACCGGCCTAAACATGCGAGAGCACCGAATAGAGCGCGATGTGGCAACCTGGAAGTTTGCAGTGGACCGCGAGGAGCATTGGCACGACATGATTGAAGACAGCGGGCAGGAGGGCTGGCTGCTGAACAAGCCGCTCCCTCTGCCCAAGAAGCTGCGCCAATGCATTCAGGATCTCAACCACCACGGAATTAGAGTAAGGCACAAGATCAAGCTCACCGTCGCACTCAGGAACCCGGACGGCCACATTTCCGAGGTAAGTGTTTCACAACGATGGGGGGGGTTGTGTGGGCTCAGCTCAGGGCGATGTGAGACATTTGGCTAACAATGCACGCAACAGTTGCGAGCGACGCTCCCGGTTTCCATCTTCATCTCGCCCAACATTCCATTCGACGAACAAGGCAACCTGGTCAATCAGGCTCCCGGAGGTGCGACACTCGAACCAGATCTCGGATCGATTGCGCCTCCCGGATACGGCGAACATGTGCTTGACCAGCTTTACGACGAAATGGACGTTACCGGATTTCAGACGCCAGCTGTGCACTCTGGGTTTAACAGCCCCTTTTACGGCCACTCTCGGACTGGTTCTTCGGAAAACCTGTCGGTGCTGGCCAACAGCGCACCCATCACACCGGCTGCTCTTGTTTCTCGACTGGCCGATGTCTCTATCGACCCGTCGCAGCGAAGCAGCTCATATCAGTCTCTTCACGCTGCCTCTGGGAGAAACTCACCTACACACGGGACAAGCCAGAGCTCCCACACACCTCATACACCCCATACACCAGCTCATCTGAGCCGAACAAACAGCGAGGAGGATGAATCTAGTTCCAGGAGCTCGGCAGAACGAGTCCAAGTCGACGTTGCGGAATTTGCCGAGTTAAACAGAGTGCCGAGCTATTCCACAGCCGTTAAAACACCAGCACGATCTCGCACTCAAACGGGCGTCTTCGTCCCCGACTACCAAACGGCCTTGAGCGCTCCGCGGACGCCGCCGAACATGGAACTCAACAACAGCAACGATGCGTTGGCGACAATTACAGAGCATGCAACTGGCGAGGTGCGCGAGACACATATGCAGAGCGTTGCTCGGGCCCTGTCACCTCCCATGGCCCGTTCTAATTCGGATGACACCTCGGCGCATCGGAGGCTACATCTCTTCCGAGCCAGAGACCAGGCCGTCTGAGAGGGAGCCGATTGCACAGCCTTGATTTTGCATCACGAAACGAACTATCCCCTCTTCCCATTCCTTTTATTTTAATCTTCTTTCTATACGGCCACATATACGACTATTTCTCCTTCTTATCCTTCTTCTTCATCTTCTTCTTATCTATCACTTTTGGTTGGGCATGCAGGTCGGTTGGTTTTTTTTACAGGCGTCAGCGATTTATGCGGGGCTTTCATTTTTCAGGATACAATCTATAGACTTTGGGCATCTGCGGGATAGAGGTTATCATGACTTATCACTTTTCTTCTCTGGACACGCAATTAACAGCCTGGTCGGGGCTGAGTATTTACGAAATACCCACCAACATTAGTATAGCAATAGCAACGACGCTGATGGAAATCTTGTGGGCGTCTTTTCTTCCATCCTTGAATCTCATTTCCTCATGCTGTGACTGTGTGCTGAATGCGATATCACCACCAAGACGCCGAATGCTACCAATCGATGCAAGTGGCGTTGCACTTCAGTCGGGCCCCTCATGGCTCAGGGGCAAATCCTACTTATGCAGGGACTACTGATGTCAATTGATCCTTATTGGCCTTGATGGTATCTGTGGCTTTTTGTCTGACGCAATGGATAGAGTTTGTTGTATGTACTGAGCATACGAGTACAAGCAGCCAGATCGAGTTGAACAAGATGACTGAAGTCACAGCATCGACTTTTCTGCAGCCACGCCGGAAAAGTCTCTCCTGGAGACAAACACCTTTTTTGGTCCGTGCAAACTGACGTCACGGGCGACACTAAGATGTGACTATTGGTGTAGAGGGGGATGCGCCTAAAGGGAAAATCAAGATTTGGAGAGGATTGGAACATGCAGCATCTTGAGCTGAACAACTTGAGACTCACGATCGCGGGATGAGGGTGTGATTGAGTGAGGCCTCACCGGGTGTTGAAGAGCCGACGAAATTACCCAGATAGGGAATATCGGCAGCAAATACGAGTACGTGGTTGATTTCGTATCCCCCTGCGCTGCTGAAAACCCCCACTCTGGCAAAATGAGACGATGACCTTTTTTGCTGGATCTGGAACATGCAGCGGACTCAGGTGCGTTGTCTTAGATGTTGAGACAATTGAAGGTGATTCGTTTTCAAGTTTCGTAGAGCTGAAGTCAGGTAAGTTGGTGTGGTGTTCATGTGTTCAATTACAGCATCATCGACCAGAGAGTTATCGGAGCTAATGGCAACCGCTATGATCGCAAACCTTGGTCATGGATGATCATCGCGATCCAATCCAATGCTAAAACAAACCGCACCGCACATGGCGCTACCACAATCCGCCAAAAGTGGCAAACCCGCCCCCCATGGCTGGCTGGCAGTCCAATTTTTTCCCACTGTCCCCTTCCACTCCACGATGGAGGCTGTGGAAGCTCTCAATGGCCCGTTTTCCCAAATGCTGCGCGGCCTGGACCCCAGCTAAAGCAGTTTGTGGTTAAACATGCAATGACATGACAAGGGGAGGTGGGAAGTGGGAAACGCCAGTGACCGCCAATGGCTTTTTCTTCTCCAGCTTGTCCCTCATTTAATATCCAATGGACTGCAACCTCGTAAATCAGTGACTCTCTCCTTTGCGCGCTTGTGTTCTCTTCTTGCCTATCTACTCCTTACTTGCGCTTGCTTGCTTTGATTCTTTTTTCTGGATCTTTTTAAACCTCAGGTTTACATCCTTTTCTTAATACCCCTGTCAGCAACAAGAGTCACATACCTATTCTTTTTAACAATGGCTTCGCCTACAAACACTACGCTGCCGTCGCGCGCGACAACGGGATTGAGCGACGATGCTATTCCCGAGGCGGACCCTTCTACTGTACGTGACACTGCATACCTATGCTTAGCGGGGAGAGGAAGCCTTGTTGTCTTTGCTGAAGTTTGAAGTGCGTGCGGCTAATCAAGTGAGATGTAGACCGCCGGATTGCTTGCAGAGCGTCTGCAGGCGTGGAAACATATGGTGGGATATCTCGAGGAGTATGTCGAGTCCGTGGAGAAGGTCCATGGCCGCCAGGCAAAGGAGTACGAGAAGGTCTTGAAGGTGAGATATGGCCCTGAATACCCCCCCTTTCTACACTCCTTTGGCGGTTTGCCAATTCTTTCTCTCTTTTTTCCCTTTTACTGACTTGCGGTGTTCCAATAGACCATTTCGAATCCCCTGCGTGAAGGCCACCACTTCGACCAGAGCCTCGGCGGCATTGCGGGCTTCTTCGAGAACATGCGAGCCAACACCCAGGCCATGATCAACACCAATATCGAGACGGAGAAGAGCATCAAGGGCTCCGTCCGCCCCATCCTCGACCGCCTGCACAAGGAGATCAAGCACAAGGCCAAGGAGCTCGCGAGCGGCGCGCAGGCGGCGGCCAAGGAGGTCGAGAAGCTGCGCAATGTGACGCAGAAGCACATTGAGCTGCTCGGCTCGCAGGCCGCCGCATACGACTCGCACGGCGGCCGGCAGACCAACAGCCACGAAGATCCCTACGTGGTCCGCCGCGGCGTCACGCACCGCCTGCACAACCAGGTGCTAGCCGAGAACAACCACCGCAACGACCTGGTGTCGGTGCAGAACAACTTCCGCACGTTCGAGGCGCACATCCTCGAGGTCGTCCAGCAGGCCATGGAAGGCTTCACGCAGCTGGTCGGCAGCCAGGGCGAGAAGATGCGGGCGCTCAACAGCGACATCCTCGGCACGGTGCAGTGCATCCCGCGCGACTTTGAGTGGACAAACTTCCAGCACCGCGCCGCCGACCGGCTGGTCAGCGCAAACGACCCGCCGCGCTCCGTCGACGCCATCCAGTTCCCTAACATGGAGCACGCCTCGACCAAGGCGCTGATTGAGGGCTCGCTGGAGCGCAAGTCGCGCAACAAGCTGTCGTTTGGCTACTCCACGGGTTACTACGTCGTCTCGCCGTCAAAGTACTTGCACGAGTTCAAGGACTCGGACGACACCCGCAACGACCCCAAGCCCGAGCTGTCCATCTACCTGCCCGACGCCGTCATCGGCGTGCCCAGCGCCGAAAAGTTCAACATCAAGGGCAAGGACAAGAGCGGCACGCTGAGCAGCAAGCTCACCGGCAGCTCCGAGATCAGCTTCAAGGCTCACACGCCCGCCGACGCCCAGCGCTGGTTCCAGATCATCCAGGGCGTTACCAACGCCGGCCCTGCTCTCTCGACCCCGGCGTCTCCCGTGACCACGTCGTCGCCCACCATGACCTCTCCCGTGGCTCCGGCTGCGGCTCCTGCGGCGGCTGCGGCTGCGACCAAGGCAGTTGAAGCTGATGCCAAGTCACCCGTGGCCACGTCCACGCCAGTCGAGAAGCACCAGGCGCAGGAAGTTGGTGTGACGGGCGGCGATACAAAGCCTGCTGCTTAGTATGTTGGCGGGAGTATCTGGGACTCGTGAAGAGAAGGGAAAAGATTAGGGGAGAATTGGGGAGTTTCTTTGTTGTTTTCTGATTGTTTTGAGTGGTTAATGATACCTATTCTGTGAAGGACACTGGAACAGTTGTTAATGCAAACGATTTTGATAATGAGTGGGTTGAGTTGCTTCTCGGTACGATGCGTAATGGCTGAGGCTGAGGCTGAACCGATGTATGTGTAAGAGTCAAAGGGTGGTTTATTCTACCAATGAATCTGACAATTATATTGATGTAAAAATGATAATCTCCCAATGCAATGCAATCATTTAAATCTGTCCCCATTATCGCGCCACCCGTCTTCCCCCTCCCGAATAAATAAGCAACACCTAATCGCTCTCATGAATTGTTCTATGCAAAACTTAAAACCATACCTTTTAGTGTCATAAATCATCCACCTTGCGCTTCTGCGCCCTGAGCACGGCCTTGTGCGTCTTATTATGAAACTTTACATCGTCGGGGTACAGCGGGTTCCAGACGGTGTTGCAGATCTTGCACTCGGAGAAGGCAGCCTGCGCGGAGATGTTGAGGGTAGTCTGGATGGAGGGAGGGCGTGTCTTTGATAAGGGTTTGGGTTTCTTTTGCCCAGGGGGCGGGGAGGGGGATGTTGAGCTTGATAATGTTGGTTCTGTTGTGTTGGATTTTCCGTTTTGGAGAGAATCGCGGGTTGAGTGTGAATCTGATTCTTGGGAGGATTGATCAGGGGTATCGTGAGTGGTGGCTTTGATTTTGAGGAGTCGAGGTTTTCGTTTCGATGGTTGCCGTTTTGGTGACTCCTGGGGAGAGATTGGCTCTTCGGCTTGTGAATTTTGTGACTGGGATGGTGGATCGTCTTTGGGTTTCTGAGGAGCTGGTTTAAAGTAGCTCAGGAGAGAACTTTTCTTTGGAGACTGGGCGCGTGTTTCCGTTTTGCTTTGATTTGGGTCATCTTGTGTTGTTTTTGCCTCTGATGCAGCTGTTACCGCTGCATCATTGGGCTTGGGGGCATCATCTGAGCTATGAGCTGACGAGATCGGCTTCTCCTCTTGCTGCTTGAGCGCAGATAGTCGTTGCCTTTTTAATGGCGGTTCGTTTTGCGCTTCAGGGGTTGAGGTTTGTCTGCCGTAGGTGCGAAGCGGCTTCTTCTCCCGCTTGCGCTGGTGGTGGTGCAGTCCCGGCTTTGTTCTGATGCAGCGTTGCATTAGCAAAGAATCCAGCGCGGAAGAAGGGAAAAAAAGTGAAAATGTAATAATAAGAACTCACATTGAATATTCAGGCGAAGAGCCCACCATGGCTGCTCCAAGCGTATCGCACTTGTGTAACTCAGATTCGCGGCGGTTAGTGTGTAAAGGTATAGAGCATTGTCCGCCTACAGATTCGCGTCCAAACAAAGATTGGCTGTATGTATTTCGTTAAAGTGTAAAGAGCTCCCTCGTGAGAAAATATCCGCAATTCGTAAATTGTAGACGAAGAGTATCTCGATATAGAGCTCAGGAAAAATAAACAGCCTGATGCTGGCGCCAAGCTTGTGGTGCTCACGATAATTGGCCCCACGTAGAGACGCGTCGAGACGCGATTGCAATCACTTTACGCGATGTCACATGCACACCCGCTTCATCTTGTCGACGAGCTTATGTACATACATACAATCCGGGCGTCATTATGCCTATTACTGGCGAATATTTTATAGATGGAATAAACTTTGTCAATAATTTTAACAGCTTGGCTGCGAATTGCTCAGAATGATGACCGCATATATCAGACGATTTATGGCAAGCTATCTACTTCGTACTACCACTAAGAATCGGTGCAGCCATTTGAAGAAGGGTATTAACACAACGCTTGCAAATAATATACAAAAACAATGGGTGGCCGACTCGGATTTCATGAGTCTGGATCATCCGTTTGAGTTGTCGGGATTCTCCTCCTGACTTGCTCGTCTCCTTCATCTTTGCTTTCTAGCAAGACGCTCTTATCGTCGCCCTCCCCTTGTCCCACAATCCACGTCTGGACAACTTCCTTAATCTCTTTCACTGCGCCCTGTTTGCTCTTCGCCTCGCCCATCCTCCACACGTAGCTTGAGTAAACGGCTACTTCTGCGATTGCAACCAGTATGCTCCCGCCAAGGGACAGGAATATTCGAGACGACAGGCTCCACCAGCGGCCGGCAATCCAGAGTGTAACCGCGACTCCAGCGATGCTGACGAGAAAATTGATTATCAACATCACTTGACGATGAATCTCATTGTATGTAACCTCATCGTCGCCAAGATCTTCCGAGCTGGAGGGCCGGTTGGCCTCGGCAAAGGCTTGGGCGGCATTGGGGAATCGGTGCTGGAAGGTCTCGAGCGGAGGCGGCGGGTTAATCATGCGTTCGTAGGCCCGAGCATCTTCTTCGCGGCGGAGACGTGCCATGAGGGCCTTGTATTCTTCAGACTAAGGATACGTAGATGTGTAAGTAGATCATCATCTTGCTAATCAATGACACGGATGGGCACCTACGGGTTCGGGCTTCGGTGGAGGAGGTGGAATATAGACGCGAGATCCCTGGAGAAGCTGCTCCAGGCTGTATCTGGGCGGTGATGTTTCTGAAGCACCGAGCTTCTTGTAAAGGCTGATTATCTCGCTGTGGGAGATGGGATTGCCCACTGCTGGCTCTGTCGATGAATCGGTTTCGGGCTGATTCTGGCTCCCATCGTCGCCGGGCTCGTCAACTTTGCGCTGCTCGCCCAGCAGCTTCAGCGCGTCCACAATGGACGGCGTCATTGTCAAGAGCACCATGGCGAGTGAAGGTACCTTATCCTGTTATCATAAACGACGTGCAAGTAGAGTTCCGTGTGAAGCCGTCAAGGTGCAAAAGCATCCATTGATCACTTTCTAGGTACGTATGGATAGCCGGAGCCAATGGCGGGATGCAAGCTACGGGTTACGGTGCGGGGCATTCTTCTCTAGCGGAAGCTTACTCGAATGGACGCTGCCAATTCTGATTGCCGACCGGGCTGACCAACGACGTCTAGGCTCTCCAATAGCGGGCGTTCGCACGGAGCGCTACGGGAACTGGATGGAACTGCTACGGGAACCGCTACAGCGCTGTCGTGCAGCAGCGTTACAGGGCTCGCGGCCCCTGTGCTCCAGGACCTATCGCCAGGGAGCATCAGCCAATGAGCAGCTGCGATAGGCCCGGCTGCCCCTCGGCCCAGAGCCGTGCAAAAGTTTCGGACGGCTGGATTTGCGACTCAAACCACCAGATCTGACGACTGATTGCGCGACTTTGCGGCTCTTCGACTACCCCAATCTTCCCAGCCAGCGCCCAGACGCTGCGAAAAGTGCAAAAGACCAGCTCGTCTCTCATTGATTGCGAAGAGACTTGCCGCAGACCTGCCGCAGATGAGGCTCCGTGCGGGAGCTTCGGCGGCTCTTCGCGATGCCGGCCGAGTGGGAGCGTCAACATGCCTCGTCTGCCACCGGCCCTTGATGGCATCCAGCGCTGCCTGGAGGGTTTTGACCATCCAGCAGGCCGGGATTCACTCGAGCTCGAATCGAGGCTCTGCGTGGGCTGCCGCCGTTCAGGTGGCCACAAACGTGGTGGGCAATGTTGCAAAGCGAGCGGCCAAAGACTCCATGACGATTGATCCGCTGCGAACCGTGGCCAAGGAGATGAAGTTTTTGACTGGCAACATTCGCAAGCTGCTGGGATCAGGCCACCCAGCCCTCGATCGAGTTGCCAAATATTATACGCAGGCTGAGGGCAAGCATGTGCGGCCACTCATTGTGCTGCTCATGTCACGAGCTACACATTTGTGTCCCAAGAGCCCCCGCGATGTAGCTCCCGAGACGTCGAGGGGCATCGACACGTCAATATCCCCCATGCAGATCCTAAGCGACGTCAACCCAATGACAAGCTCGACGTCGTATGAAAGCGAAGCGGCCGAGTCGGCAAACCTCGACATCCTCCCAAGCCAGAGACGGCTGGCGGAAATCACAGAGCTGATCCACACGGCATCTCTGCTACACGATGATGTCATTGACCACTCTGTGTCGAGACGAGGTGCGCCGTCGGCCAATCTGGAGTTTGGCAACAAGATGGCTGTCTTGGCTGGAGATTTCCTCCTGGGCAGAGCATCTGTTGCGCTGGCACGACTACGCAACGCCGAGGTGGTGGAGCTGCTGGCCACGGTTATCGCCAACCTTGTTGAGGGCGAGTTCATGCAGCTCAAGAACACAGAGCGCGACGAGCGCAGCCCCAAGTGGTCCGAGGAGACTCTGAGCTACTACCTGCAAAAGACATATCTCAAAACCGCCAGTCTGATTTCCAAGTCCTGCCGGGCGGCGGCGCTTCTCGGCAATGCGGACCAGCACACCGTCGAGGCCGCCTACTCGTATGGGCGGAACCTGGGCCTTGCATTCCAACTGGTGGACGACATGCTGGATTACACCCGAAGCGGGCAAGACTTGGGCAAGCCTGCAGGAGCAGATTTGGAGCTGGGACTGGCCACGGCACCGCTGCTGTTTGCCTGGAAGCAGATGCCGGAGCTTGGAGCCCTCGTTGGGCGCAAGTTTGCCCAAGAGGGAGACGTCCAGAGGGTGAGTTTTTACACACAGTGAATAGTAATCAGACAAGTGACTGACAAACGTTATAGGCTCGTCAATTGGTCCTTCAGAGCGACGGTATCGAGCAGACCCGAGCCCTCGCTTACGACTACTCTGAAAGGGCGGTTGCTGCCATTGCCGATTTCCCCGACAGCGAGGCCAAGGATGGCCTCATTGAAATGGCTCACAAGACGATCCAGCGCCAAAAGTAACCGATCACATGCATTACAGGTCAGGGAGCTGATAAAACACCGCAGCAACCTGAATACAGACCACGTGGGGGGAGTAGACCAACATACTGTTCCGGCGTTTGTACCATTATTCCACTCTTGGGCAAAAAAACAGGGTAAATATGTAATGAGAAGGGAAACGAAAAAAAGGCATGAAAAAAGAATGGGAGAACAAAATGGGCATGGTGTTTGGATGGAGAAAGGGGGCCATTTACACTTTTTTTTTCTTTTTTCTTTTTTCTTGTGTGAGAGCAAGGAGCCAAAAAATATTACGGGATTGTTGAATCACCACTTATAGGGTACACACATGCAGATGTTGTTAGAAAGGCACACCAGGCTATTTGATTTGCAAACAAAAAAAACATGAAAATAAGAAGGACTACATGGGTAGGCATTGAAAATTACACAACTGAGAGAGGTATTTGAAATGGATATCTTCTGATTGACGGAGGCGATGATGGGGGTGTATGATGGTGGATGCCCAAAAAGGAGGGGGAACAGGAGGCCGGACTTTTTGATAGATAGATCAGCCAGTTCGTCAATGGGACAGCGATAGATTAATGACTGGACTTGATTCGTGCACGCTTTTAATCCCGTTTCCATCGTATTGCATCCATTAAGGTGCCATTCGCTTCTGAGAGTGGAGAGAAGACGTGGGATCTGGTGATTGGAGGCGTGTACGAGTATCTCTGTATGAGTCCAGATGCTCTATGATACCAAATAGGTCATCCCAGTTTCCCGCGGCAATGTAGTGTTCATCACAGCTGTAGCTACTGCTTTTACTACTTGGTATCGAATAGGGGAATAAAAGTAACAAGGTAAAACGCTCTCAATTCATATGCCTATTCGATCATCTCGACATTGGGGGGGTATAATAGTACCTAACATCTAAAACAAAATAACCATCTAAAAAACTCCTAATCTAAGTCGTGGTCCCCATTTCCGACCTCTTCATCAGCCTAACTCTAACGCCGTTAATCTGGTTCTTGGGCGCCCCCTTAATCTCCTTGCCCTCCGCAGTGAGCATATCCATCTTCTCCCAGCGGCCGGGCATAGCAGGCGCCGCTGGTGCCGGGGAGCCGCCGTGATGTACAATCTCAATTCCGTTGATCTGTGATCCTGTGCCCAGCTTCTTGCAGCCGTTGTAATAGTATTTCCCCCGGGGAGCCTGGAGGTCCTCCCCATTTGACCCCGGGTCGCACACTATCACCACTCCGTTGATCTGATCAACTCCAGAATCGGCTTTGCAATCAGAATAAGAAGCGACGTCCCAACGTTGACCAGCAGCGTCGATCATGTACGGGAAATAAGCCGGAGGGGCGCCGGCGGCAGCCCACATGGCCGGCGCCCCGATGGCATAGTTGGTCGGAAAGGGTTGCATGTGCGGGTGCGGTGTGACATAGGATGTCATCGACATGGGCCCCGGTGGCATGTTCGGCATATGGAAGTTACCCTGATCCAGGGTACCATGTAGCGGGAGGACTTGGTCAGCCTCGGTGCCGTGGTGCATGTGTGTATCTGTGTTGGGTGTCATGGTTTGAGAGATCTGAGGTATGACGATGCTTATGCAGCAGGAGCTTTATTCCGTTGGTGGTGGGATGAGAGGCTCAAGCTTTATTTCTTCGAAGCAAGCAAAAGCCGAAAGAAGGAGAAGAGGAGACGAAAGGTTTCGTTAATGGTTGAGGGGATGAATTAGGAGGAAAGGGTGATGGAAGGCTGTTGTGAAAAGACGAAGACATGCTGGGTTCTCTGCCTCATATATAGTCAACTCCAAGGTGCTTGGAAGGTCCCAGGGTCTCGACCTTTCCCGTCATGACCAAGGCCTACTCTAGCCATCCTCTCCCCTCTTTTGACATAGATCACTGCCTTAGCCGACCAATGTCTCACAGTCAGGCAGACAATCGCCATGGCGTAGACGCCCCCTCCTCCACGGCGCCTATATGGCCGCGGCCCATTGGACTCGTTCATACTCGCACGATGGACCACCAGTTAGCACTAGCCAATATGATGACATCTCCTGCTAAACTAGGAGCGATCGGGGAGGGCGGCTATCTTGTCCGACTAGCTGGTGTGCGAATCCGGAAGAGTTGGCAAAACAGTCTAACCCCCCTTTCCCCTCTTCCCTCAGCTCTGATGACTGAATGGGCCACTCACTTGCCCTATAAGCAAGAGCTGACATGATGTTTCGTGCCACCAAATTTGGTGGTTTCTCAAACCTTGGGTGAAGCTTCAACAGGATGACTGGGCCAGACATTCACCCCTCTGTGCTGGACTGAGGAGGACGAAAATATCCATCTCTCCGTATATGACACTCAGGCAGCAACGCTAAGCACATACTATCGAGAAACTGGCAGAAAACAAGAGACGACTGAATGCCGCACAATCTTGTCAAGGTAAAGCGTGAACTGCAAGCCTGGGGATCCTTGCACACACCGGCTGCGGGAGGCACACAAGACAATGACAATGACCCAATGCAAGGGAGAATCTCTTGCAAAGCAGCCCGAGATAGCCATCACTAAACGGGATCTGATGCCGGTGTGAGTGCGCCAGATGGTGAGGCTGAAGTAGGCGTGTACGCTAAAAGAAGCAAGGATGCGCAAGTAGACTGCAAGCTGAGGTTTGGAATTGGGCTCGACTCGAGCCACGACAGCATAAGGTCGGGGAAAGGGAACAACAGGTATACCGACTGCATCGTGATTCGGCATGATTAACCACCAGGACAGAAATCCCTCTGCGTCTTGGTGTTCGTATCCTGCTTTCTTCGCTAAGAGCACGAGCACATCCTGTACAACCTTGCACTCCTACATCGTCATGATACGCGCCCAGCTCGAGACAGTGCCACCCACTTGGGTTACAAACCAGTCCCAACAGCCATCATTTGTGAGCCAGTTTTCAGGTCCAAGCTAATGGCTGCACCCCTGGACGTTGGGTTGACAGAACCATCCCAGATATCTCTTCCCAGCGCATTAACACGTGTTGCCATACCACCTACCTTGTTCCTTGATCAACACGTCCAATGGACTGTTCTAGCCTATCGTATTGGAAAAGCACGCATAGCTGCATATAAGGTGAATCATTGTCATTGGCCTGCCCAGGAAGCATGTCATTTCAAGCAGTCCGCACGCCAAGGGAAATCAGTGGCTCCCCGGGTGCCTACGCGGAGACTCTAATATCACCGACAAAGACCGTAAGATGGGTATGTATATAATCAGGCCGGCACTTCAATACTGCTTCTCGCCGAGTGATACCCCGTCCTCGTACGTGGTCAATGGAAATAACATGCTGCCGGCATGTAGTTTATCATTCACTCTTCATAGCGGGGCTGTGCGAATCGGGATGATATCCGTTGCAGCTAAGGAGACTTTGCTGTCGTGAAAGACGCCCATTGGGTGTAGTGACAGTGATTAGGCCGAAAGGACGGCCCTGTTTATGCGGGGAACGACCGATTGAGGCCGTACTAGCAGCAAGTTGGCGGCGGCAAGGGAGACTTCCCCGGTTTGGTGGTGTGTCCCAGTGATATATAAGTAGACCACGCTCACACGGGCTTCATCTCTGGCCCTTCCTCACCTGAGACGTGGCTGAGACTGAGAGCCTGATCCATCTTCCAACCAGGCACCACTGCCTCGTATTTGGGCCATAGACAGTTGGGCAACAAAAAGGACCGTGAATGGACCGGACCAGAGACTTAGCGTGAGCGTGCTTCGTACTTCGTAGACGCGCGGAAGACGGCACTTTGCAAGCTGTTTCGCGTTAATTATGCCAAGGCGTCTATTGCCTGTCTCCAGCCAGCCTCGGGCACATCGTCTCGGGCATCTTCCAGGGATGTAGCGAATGAGCTGGACGGTCGTTTGCATGAAGCTGCTCCGCAACGTTGGTTGTTGTTGGTCCTAAGAATAACCTTGAACTTAGCAAGTTAGCAGCACTCCGGAGCTGTAGATGCTTGCATTAGCTCAACCATGCAGAACACGTGGAGCGTCTCCTCTCTTTCTCGTCTTATGTAACAATTCTCGGCTCTACGGCACGACTCCTCCGATTTGCCTTTCTCATCTCATCTTTTCGTTCTGTTGATCCTCGTGATCACCTTAGTCAGCCTCACTATCACACAACCCACGGTAATCGCCCAGATACTCTTCTCAGCCACACTGTGTGGCGCTTCCAATAAGGACCCTGATTCCATCGCTGATAATGCCTCCACTAGCCGTTCGCTTATCGTCAATCCCGACACCGCCGAAGTCGTTCAGCTTTATCCTCTTGTCGCGCCGTCTCGAGTAACTGTTACTCGATCAAATGCTGATTGGTCACGCGCTCCGCGCCTTCAGTCCCAAATGGCCTGGTAATCTGATCTTCATCCTCGCTCTGGCCCATCGGACGAAGCCGATAAGGGTGGAGATTTTTTTTTCTTCCTCCCTTTGCTATCGATCATCCGGGTTCTGCGAATCCCTTCATTTTCGCTAGAGAAATTTTCTTCTTTTTTTGCCTCCCGAGATGTGAAAATTTTGCAACTCTGCTGAGGACCACTCCCGACAAAGAAGCTGCGGAGTTCGTAACGTAGATTGCCCGTAGAGAATGGAAGCAGGAGTAAGGAGAATACTCCAGAGTAAGCGATGTGTGATACATCTCCGGCCCCTCTTATCTGGCCTTTCGCCCCAGCTCATCGTATCCCACGATAAGGCCTGCCAGCCACTATCCACCATATGGCTTAGACTGCTCTGGAGCGTCATCGGCTCCGGCCGACGATGCGGCTTGCATCGCCTGGATGTCCCGTCTCTTTGCCTCCTTTCTTATTTCTCTTCTTTACCCCTCCTCATCCGTAGTTTGTGAAGTTCTCGTGCTCTGACTGTGCACCTCGCTTTCTTGTCTCTCATCGTGAAAGGCCGTTTAGGAGAGCGGTCTCTCATCCTCGGAGCTCATCTTAACTCGCACAGGCCTAAAAGACTAAGCCGTAGTTGTCGCCATGACCGTCACGCACACCTCCAACGTCGGGCCGCTCACCGTCCTGGTTTCGACTCGAGCCGTCCTCACACTTCCAGACAACTCTCTTGTCCTCTCTCCGGCGACCATTTGCATATCTCCCGAGCTTGGCAGAATTGTCTCCATTCTGCCCGAGATCCTTCCCGCCTCGGCCTTTCCCCCCAGCGCTACCTATGTAGACCACTCTCCCAAGCTGTTGCTTCCGGGTCTTGTGGATGCTCATGTCCACCTGAATGAGCCTGGCCGAACAGAGTGGGAGGGATTCTGGACCGGAACTCGAGCAGCGGCAAGCGGTGGCGTCACCACCGTTATCGACATGCCGCTGAATGCCATCCCGCCAACGACTACTCTCCAGGGATTCGAAGAGAAGCTTAAGGCCAGCCGCGGCCAGTGCTGGGTAGACGTAGGCTTTTACGGCGGTGTCATTCCTGGGAACGCAGACCAGCTGAAACCCCTCGTAGAGGCTGGTGTTAGAGGATTCAAGGGCTTCCTCATTGAATCCGGCGTCGACGAGTTCCCTGCCGTATCCGCCAAAGATGTGGCATTGGCCATGGAGACACTCAAGCATGAACCAACCACTCTGATGTTCCATGCTGAGATGATCCCTCCCATTGCCGATTCTGTTGGTGACGCCGTCCTAACGTCTGATCCTCCTGCGGCACCCAAAGGCGAATTGACCGCCTACAGCACATTTCTCGAGTCGCGGCCTCCTTCTTTCGAGACCTATGCTATCGAGGAAATCCTTGCGCATGCTCATATTGCTCCCTCGCTGCACCTCCATATTGTCCACCTGTCGGCGACGCAAGCGATTCCGATTCTCAAGGCTGCTCGCCAGAGGGGAGTTAACATCACAGCTGAGACTTGTTTCCATTATCTGGGGCTATCAGCCGAAGAGATTGAGAAGGGTGACACGAGACACAAGTGCTGCCCTCCCATCCGTGAGGCTAACAACCGAGACGGCCTTTGGGAGGAACTGGTGGCCGACGACTCGTGCATTCGTACCGTCGTCTCTGACCACTCACCTTGTACACCTCAGCTGAAACTGCTGCCCGACCACCTCGAGAGACCTGCAATTCCCCATTCTGATTCGGGTCTGGATGTCAACAGCCACAAGGACCTGCCACCAACCAAAACTATTGCCCGCGGTGACTTCTTCGCCGCTTGGGGCGGCATCTCCTCCGTCGGCCTCGGCCTGCCTATCCTGCATACCGCTGCCAAGCAGCGCTCTGAGACATCCAAGGCACCAACCATCATCGACATGGTCCGCCTCTGTTGTCAAGCAACCGCTGAGCAGGTCGGTCTCTCTCACCGCAAAGGAGCTCTCAAGGTTGGAATGGACGCCGACATTTGCGTTTTCGACGATACGCACGTCTGGACTTTTACTCAGGGCGACATGCGCTGGAAGAACCGCTGTTCGCCCTGGCAAGGCCACAAATTCACCGGTCGGGTCATGGAGACGTGGCTTCGCGGCCGCAAGGTGTTTGATCTGGAGGCTCCCGGCGACGGCTTTCTCGCTGCCAAGCCTTTTGGCGAGTCCATCACCGAAAAGAGAACTTTGTAAACGATACGAAACGCACGATTCTATGATTTTGTCAATGCTTTTGATTTGGAGCTGGGGGACATGCGCATGAACGAATAGACGGACGAGGTAGATGGCATATTCAAGTGTGAGCGGGCGGGCGTTTTTGGCATATTGCGTTTGGTTTTCGGCATACATGCATTTGCACGTACATGGTTTGCATTTGTTATGGCGTAGAAAGCAATGTTGAGATTTGTGAGGTTTATGGCCAGGTAATAGGTAGTAATAACATTCGATTTGATAAACCAAGTTGAAGTCAAGAGTGCAAGATCCGATATACATTCGTATAGACTGCGAGACAATTCCTACTTTTGTTACCGAGTGCAGTCAAAGAATCGATGCCTCACCGCACTTGTTTGTGGGGTCTGGAGAGAGGCTGAGATGCAAGGGAGGCGATTCTGGTCCATCATTCGTCGATCATGTCTCAGTGCGAATGGCGTCAACCGGTAGCGCAAGAATCTGACGATGTGATTTGTCGAGAGATCGTGGCTGACAGACGATGGGATGCTGGAATGGACAATTGAAAGGTTGCAGCATTAGAATATAACGTTTGAGATTTAACGTAATAATGTGTGTATGTTGGTCGGTGGTGATGCGTGAGGGATCACAGCAGAGGTGTCCACGGGCGGTCTTCACGATTGGTACTGTAGCCTTCATCAACATATGGAACATTGTATATTAAGTGATATTTCTCCCTGTCTAAATCTCTACGTTGTACCCCTTGTCCATATCATCTATGCTGCCAGCTACCTGGACTGAAGTGACTGCTTAATTGTTCTAAACTACTTGCGCCCTTAAGGCGACGTCCATAAGGTGACTGAGATTGTTCATAGCGTCCATAACAACATCCCGACCCGTGGTAAAGGCCCATCTATGTATTCTAGCTCGCGACAATTCTTGACTACAAAATGTATAACATCCCGAAACTTCTTCCAGGTGCGACATGATAAACTAAAACGGAATAAAACCGTCGGATACATAAAGAAATTGTCGCCAAGATGGAAGTCTGAACTTTATAGCGATTGTGAAGTTGTTTCGACAGCAGTGTCGGCACCGCTACTGGCGTTGAGACTGGCGTTGAGACTACATGTAGCAATTGCTTCCTTCGCCGAGTGAGCCTTACACTTTTTATGACGTTAACCTCACCCATCCAAGGCTGCGACTTCACCCAAATATATCATTTATTTATATTTGTCTAGTATCTGCTACTATAGATATATCTACCTAATATCTTCTACTATAGCTATATCCCTCTAGTGTCTACTACTATAAATCTATTCTGGCTTGTTTTTATTCTTTCATTCTTGTTAACATCCTTCTTTAATCGAAAGATGACAGCATGAGTGTAAGTGCAGGCGCTCCTCCGCCTCGCCATCACTCTGTGAGCGATGTGAACGGATTGCGAAACTCCCCTCTATCACTAATCATTCCTCCCCTTCTCTCTTTTCTTACTCCTTTCTTTTCTCCCAAGCCTTATCAGTTTCTTCCCTCTAGACCTGATACTTGGCCCGCGATAGTCCCCACCAGTTTCGAATAGCTACATGTACTGGACGGTAAGTTTATATCCTCAATCATCCTTTGCCTTGTCTCCCTGCTACTTCGGCCGCCTCATACGTTCAAACATCTACGAGATCACCCGGGTTCGGGGTTTGGTATATCCTCCACCGCCAACACGCTCATAGCTGAGACGGCTAGGGCAGGATCTATAATAGATGCTTCTGGGTTGTAGTCGTAAAGATCTTGACATAAGTCAGCCTCTGGCGGCTGCAAATCGGGCAATGTGATAGGCGTCTGTTGTCTGCTTCTCTGTGTCTCGGGCACGCTTTGCGTAGAGATTTGAAAAGCGGTCCGAGGCACTTTTGCGGTGTTAATTCGCTGTAGCGCCATTTATTCGTTTTCTATGCAGTTTGGTGAAGTTTAAAATAGATCTTGCTGCAGAGAAGAGAGACCGTATGTACAAAGAGAATAGAAACGGCGAAAGTGTGAAATGCGGATAATGATAACGAAAGGTTGGGATTGTTGCTATTTCTTCTAGTATCTGTTATATAACCACTATCATTTTCGAGGTGATTGTTAGCACACGCTTACTACCATCAAATCGTTTCATATACGTCCTACAGGCTTTATTACTTTATGATACCTTATGTTCCCTTAAGCCATGATTATAATTATGTTAATCCCTGCTACCAATTGTTTGACATTCAGAAACAATCACCTCGCCAGTGAGTTCAGCATTGTCGATTCCGACCATGCACTAATAGATGCAACTTACCGACCTTGTCTTAACATGCTTAGACGGCTGCATGAATTCGAGGCCCAGCATCTGTGGCAGCCGCTGCCAGCCGTGGAACAGACTGCCAACCTCCGCTCAGTTTTATTTTCCCTTTACCCCCGATTCTAATGACGCGTCTCTCTCTTCCCTCGCTTCACACTTCTCTCTTGTTTCATCTCTGCACCTGATTTCGCTCGCCTCTTGACAGCCCTCGACTGGCCCAAGGCCATTCAAAATGTCGGCCGCAAAGATTGAGAAGAAGAAGGTCATCAAATTCGGTGTGGAGGATCTCAACCTTAAGTCGGATGATCCAAAGTACAGTAATGGAATAAATTGTGTCCTCATGTATTGGGCACGGGCAACCACACTCGAGACTCACGAACAAGAAGAAATGATCGAATACCTGCGGAACCACGACTACTATATCGAGCCTTCTGCTAAAGTTGGTGTTGCTTCCCATAAATTATACCGCGCGACCATGCAAGCGTACGATGCCTTTGGCCTTGAAGGATTGTCGAGACCGGTTTATCTCATCTTGTCATCGCTATACTTTGATTTACCGGAAAAATACCTCCAACTGATTCGAGATCGTTTCGGTTCCGTCGATATCATCAATCATTCGCAAGAGTATTGGAAGGCGATCAGCAAGTCAGCCGTAGCCACCAATGCCGCGACGATCCGAAATAAGGACGAAGAAGATGTCGCTTCTAGAACCGAAGAACAGGTAGCCGTCCTTGACCCGGTGCGCCAGGCAAAACAGAGTGTAGCTCTCGAGGAAGCCAAATGCCCTCGAGCACTCTCTGACAATCCGGCCGTTGAACCTAAACGTACACGACGAGCAACCGACAAAGGTGGTTTTGATATTGACCACGTAGTCGCTGGCATCAAGTCGTCCCTCGCCATCCAACGCTTCGTTGATACTACCAAGCCCGCCTCGACAACAGCCGAAAAGCCGCGAATGACGAGCTCCGACCTCCTCGAAATGAAGGAGGATGTGAAGATTGCCAAAGACACTGCGATGAGAAACGAGGCCAAGATTGATGCAGCCAGCACCAAACTCGACGGCTTCATTTCCGAGATGCGTCCGTTTATGACTGCCTTCGCAAACACGGCAGATATTCCGCTGCCAATTGAAATCGTTGACGAGAGCGACAATGACAACCACGAATGAAGATTTTCGCCACGATGGATGACGACATCTATGACTATTTTGGTGAATGCAGGATTTGTGCAAACACGAAGTGGGTTTTCTTTCTTCTTTCGTCTCATCACTTTGGTTTACTGACCATATTTACGATATATAGGACTGAGTAATGGGCTAGATTAGAAGTCTCATTCGCAATATCCCGGTCTTTGGGGAACTGGTTAGCCGGATTGAGATGGAGAGCTTGACTATGTGCGATATAAAGTGACGAGAACGAAATGATAGTGTAGGTTGAGTCGAATTAGCAATCTTTAAAGGGTTGTGTTATGCTATCCTAAGTTAGTGTTGACTAAAACATCTCTTTGTATTACGACGTCTTTCTATCTTTTTAATATGACCGCAGTGACTAGATTGAAATGCAGAAGAAATGTCTTTATTTAACTATTACGTAGCTATCCGCTGATATTGATACTTTCTCTCACATTTACTAAATACATTTACTATTAACTGATGCTTCGAATGAATATCAGCTTTGATATACCTAGCAGCTGTGACCAGTTGTCACCCTTTATATCACAACCTCTTCAGTTTACCTACAGTTAATGAGTAATCACATGATTTAATCCTTATTACCATCATCAATTTCTCCTCCAACGTTTTTTTCTTCTTTCTCTTCTTCACTTCTCAGCGCGTTTAACGCTTCTTTTCTCAAGGTTAAAAAAACCGCCACAAGATGGGAGAGGCAGTTGCTGAGAACGCCGTGACGGAGGCGATCAATAATGAAGACTTGGCAAACTTATTATTTCCGGATCCTGTCCCACTCCTTGAGGATCTACAATCCGAGGGCAGCTATGAGAGCTTATACATAGATGAAGAAGAAGCTATCACCGAAGACACCGCTGAAGAAGAGGCTTCCAAAGAGGATTCCTCTGAAGAGGAAGTAGTCCCAAGACCCCGAAACGCAAAAGGAAAACGCGCTGCGTCGTCGAAACCCCCTGGCGATCAGCCCCTTGACAAGCGTCCACGTCAATCCACTACTGAAGAAGAATTCGACATTGCCACGGTGGTGGACGCTATAGAAAACAACCCATTATGGAAGATGAGCCACAAGGCGACACTATGGGAGAAGTATGAGAGTGGTCTGAGACTTCTGTTCGAGAGGGTGGTCCTCATGGAAATTGAAGCTCGCGAAGAAGGGAAGAAGAACGAGGAATTCAGAGAGGAGATGAGAATGCACCCGGAGGAAGAGAAGAAGCACTGGAAGGAGATGAAAGAACATTGGGAGGAGGAAAAAAAATACCGAAAGGAGGAGAAGACGCATCGGGAGGAGATGCGGAAGTTTATGGTCGCAATCTCCAAAGCCTTTGGCGTGACAGCGCAGGCCGAGAAAGAGTAAATGTTCGCAAGACGGGCAGTTGATTTTTGGCTTGAGGGCTTGAGATTCATGGATACAGGGCATTGGAGTTTGGCCACAGTACTAGCAAGCATCAGATCACGAAGTTATCCTGGCGACGAAGATATTGCCAAAATTTGGTGGCGGGAATTAACTGCCTAATCAACTCATAATATACAGAGGTTCAACATCTAGTATACACTTTAAGAGAGCAGCTATGCGGTAGTCCAAGTTTGGCAGATATCTAACGTTTACTGATACAAGAAAACAATATCGATACTAGAAGCATGCAGCATAAAACCATGGTTCATTCGGTTAAAAGCTTTCTATGAGCTGTTGGCTTCGACGGAGGCGTGGCATTTGTCTACGCATTCATTATTGCAACCAGGTAGGGACAACCTGAAAGTTCTGGTGACTTCTTAGAATCTAGTTTAGTTTTACTTACATAGAGCCTACCTATACTAAGCTTAGCTACTGTATAGTAAAAACAGGTAGAAGAGAGTAGCAATACTAGAAGAGAGTAGCAATACTAGAAGAAAGTAGCGATACTGGAAGAAAGTATAAGTCAGGGATAAGGGATAGGGAGACGGCAAAGAACACAGGTACGAGATGCTGATATTTATGAAGAAAATGACTGAAAAATTGGGCAAAACCACAAAGAAACCTTAGCGACGAGGATATGGCTTCATTTGGGGACTTGGGCGTTTACGGGTATAGGAAACTGCAGTCAGCTTATGACATTGATGGGCGGCGACTCGTGAAGTCTTGGGGACGAAAACATACATTAGTTTCTGGCGAGGAGGTTTGGGGTTTGCGAATATAGGACATTGAGGTTCGGTGACAATACTAGCAGGCAATTGATCATGATATCGGGAGGATACTAGGGAATCATGGATACACGACATTGAAGTTCGGTTATGGTAGTCTTGCCATTCGTCCCATCTATGTCACCACACAGGATACAAGTTTAGAAGAAATCATCAAAGAACCCATTTCCTGCTTCATACATTGCCATTTATCGCGATATCCCATGATGCTTTTCTTTACCTAACTAACTTCAGCAACCGTGTATATCCCTTCTATTATGATCCAATCACCGACAACAAAACAACTTCAACATCAGTCATAGCATCGTCGACGCCAAATCCTCCCGAACCATTCACCGCGTCACAGACATTACCAAGACTACATCACCGTGAAGCTCATCCTCTGCTCCTTCGGCTAGTCACCAACGCCGGATCCAAACGCCTTCCCTGCTCCCTCTTATACTCAGTCTCCCCCTCCGGAATCCTCCACCGCTCATAGTAATACAACTCCGGCATCCTCGTCTGCGTCTGCTCCTCCAACTGCGCCTCTCCATCACGCAAGCCAACACCCGTCTCTATCAACGAAGCTCTTCCCTCAGGGTCAATAGCCTGCCATCCTTCCGGCGATGACCGGCGAGAGACCACCAAGTCTACATCTTCAGCCATAGAATACGTCGCCTCTACAACAGCTCCCCTGACAGCGCAGTAGAACGACGTCGACAAGTCAGATGCTTTAGCTAAAGAGTGGACTCGGTCCATGGATGTGCTGTAGATGTGCATGACTGCATCTGGCCGCCAGCTATCTTGTCGTGATAGATGGTGCCATGTACATGCTCGACCAGACGAGGAATCGCACTCCTCGACCGGATTGATCTGAAGTCCATCGACTTCGTTAATGGCTCCGTACTGATGGGGCCGTCCGGGGAGAGGCGTGTTTGCAGAACAAGGCATGGCATTAGTGTGATGATATGGTTTTGGGAAACGAAAGTCGAAGAATCGAAGATCGGGGCTGCAGTTGTTGCCAGCTACGAATCGCTCAGATCCGTATACTAGCAATGAACTACTGGCCTGATACGGCTGGAAGCCATCACGATACAGGACATCGTGGGCTGAAGGAGTTCGTAAATCTGATAGCCTAGTATCACATATTGGAGTTAGCTGCTTGAATAGAGACTCTGATTTTGGACATGTTATCGTCTCGTATCTTACCTATGACTTCCGTCGTCCCAGGCACTGAGCAGCAGATTATCATTCATCCTTGTAACCGGCTGAATAGCACGAACCGTCGTCTTCTCAGCCGATCTCTTGGAATCCGCCGAAGCATTGCCACTAATCCTGGAACTCATTGCTGCGTTGAAAAACTCAATTCCACTGGGCCGCATCTTGGCCCATCTCAAAGGCTCGGTGCTGCCACCAATGCTGCAAGCAATCACATCGTTGGCCATGAACTTGGCGCTGCGCAGAAGCGAAACCTCGTCAACGGAGCCATCTTTAGCCACGTCGTAGTAGAGAACAGGTTTCAGTGTTGCCTCTTCGGTATCGGAAAGGTTGTAAAGCGTCAAGACGGAGCTCCTGCAGCTTGCCAGCAACTTGGCGTCAGACTCCCACTCGGTCCATGAAATCGCTCTCTGTCCAGGAGACTTTCGGCTTAGGGGCACTCCGGATGGGTTGTTAGCGTCGTGTGAAGGAATAAAACTCTGAGATGCGTCCGATAGTGTCTCATCCCCGACAGACAAGAGCTGAAGACTTCCGTCAGCCCTTCCAACAACCACCTCTGGGACCTGCTGGCGCTGGATGAGGCTGATTGCCGTCACGTCTCCCGTCCCAGCCGCATATCCAGTCTCACGGCCTCCCAACTTGCTCCAGCTATCTGAGCCCTTGCTGCTCACGCCCTTTCGTCGAAGAATCAGATTCTCTCCCGCGCCACACGCCAGCAGCTCCTCCTGCGTAGACACAATCGTCGTAGCGTCAATGACGGAGTGAAAGTTGACAGACTGCCTGCTCCTAGGAAACTCCCTCCTCTTGGTCCGCGCCGGCGGCTTTTCTCCATACACCGTCAGATAGAACCCACGACTGTCCCAACACCGGTCGAGATACGTCAAGCGGTCTGCCACGGCATTCCAGCCCGTTAAAGCGCCTAAGGGGATGTTGATGGAAGGGAACTTGGCCCTCACGAAGCTGCGCCATCCGCTTTGGTTGATGACGGCATGGGCATGTCGCGATGCGCTCGCCAGATGAGCCACATCGCGGGCCGTGTCCAGATGCTGGACAATGTCGAGAATGAGATCGTCTGGGAGACTCCCCAGCGATGCCACGTCCATTATGATTACTGTTCAAGCAGTCTCATAGAGAAGTCTAGATTATGTCTTTTGTAAATGCAGAAAAGCAAGAAGAAAATAAGAAGAGGAAGGAATATGCCGCGTAATTATCATCTACTGCATCCTTATGGTCGTCCATTCGTTAATCAGCTTCAGTTTCAATTTCCATTGCCTCATGGACGCATTTTACAGCCCTTGCAGCGATGATGATTCATCCACTAAAACTTACTAAGACTTGACGGTGGCGCAACAACTTGTATCCAAAACGTGGCAGCCACAGTCTGACTCACGCCCAGGCTTCTATTCTCTCCAGGGTCTGCAGGATTTTAAGCCAAAACCCCCATCATGACTGGTTTAGAGAGGGAGGAAGAGAGTCATTAGGATCATGAGGGGAGATGCATGACTTGGGCCAGATGAGAGGCTGCCTGCAAGGCGTAGCTTAGCATATGCCTCTAGCGGGTTGGGTCGCCTCAGTAAGCACGGTATACTGCCTAAATTGAAGACTTTAACACATCAGAACCAGCCATTATCGCATCATACTGTATTGTTATACGGTGTAGATATTAAGCACATTGCTGAGTAGGCAAAAATACATATGTAACTGTTGGATCTATGTTATATTTCATAGGTAGGATTTAAGTAGCCAAAAGTGCCTGTTCACGATATAATATTCTCACTCGATTACTTCTATCCAGCATCTAAACACATCACACAACTCAACACAAATCTCACTCTATGCTTCACTCTCACACACAGGGCAAATCATATATGTACCCCAAGTCTCATACCCCCTGCTATACTATATATCAAAACCTATCTACAACCCATAATCATCATCGCCAACCCGTATACTTATGCATATGCTGAAAAGAAAATCCACATTAGTGGTTTGCTTACCTCCCCCCTTCTATCACTCTTTGGATCGGAAATGAAACAACAACCTCGGCCAAACCATTTCCAACGCCAACATCAAAACGAACGCCTAAAAGTATGGTTTTCCAACGTGTCTCGTTGCAAAGGTATCACCAAAAAATGGAAACCCCCCTTCAGCTACGCGCCCTCCCTTCTCCTCATACAAAGGAAAATAAAACAAACAAATAATCACATTAACAGATACAATGCACGCGCAGCTTTTTCGGCCGCCGCGACGTGCCAGGGTCGCACATCTGCTTCCCTGTCAACCACTCCACGGGCCCGGGCCAGGGTGCCCAATCCTCTAAAGTATCCCAACATTTCTCTGAAAAGGGGTTCGTGCACTCGTGGCATGGCTTCGGTGTACACCAGATTCACTTCCATCACGATAGGAGCATCTTCCACCTTGATTCCTGTCCGCTTGATGAGATAGCCACTGATTAAAGCGGGGTGTACTTCTAGGATGCTCGTGGAGTTGCTGAGCCGGTGGCCGGCAATAGCTCCCCAGGTCTGATCAGTAACATCAGTCAAAATGGCATCCAGATCCGCATCGGCAGCGCCAGCATTAGAAGCACCGCCATCACCAGAGGGGGTAGCGACTGCCATGCCTTCGCGAGCGGGAGTCGCGGGAGTTGGCGGTTCTGGAGAAAATGCGCTTGGCAGCGGTGTAGATGCTGGTGTGTGAAGAGCAGCGGAAGGCGGCGCGAGCTTCACTACCGGCGGTAAAAGTTGAAGCGATGGATTCGTATCGACCGTGAGCAAAGCGACCGTTACCTTGGCGTTGATCTCGGTGCGGGCCAAGTCAACCCAAAAGTCCATCTCGTGCTGCGGCATTGGCCCACACTTGGTGATGATGACTCTCCAAAGCACTTTCCACGCAGATATTAATTCAAGAGTAGTCTCCCATATCTCATTGGCAATCTCGTTCATATTGCGAGACGGCTGCTTTCCCTTCCTCCCCATGCAATAAGAAGCCGTTGCTTGCTGGTTTCCCCTATCGTCCGTCCAAGCCGCTGTAATCCATCGCTCGTCGACGCTCTGGGCGTATGCTACATGAATGCAAGAGTTCTCGCGAATAAGCGATGCTGACGGATTAGTAGTCAACTTAAAATCAATGATCCGTGGTAGAAGCTGCTCGAGTCTAATGGCTGGAGCAGGCATTGGTCCCCCAAAGAGAGTACAGCGATCGTAGGTCTCGATGCAGAGCCTGACTAGGTCTGAAGTCGGAGTGACTACCAAGGCCGAGGGAGAGGACAAAAGATCTGCCGATACTAGCTGCAAAACTAGTTCATTCTGCGGAGGCTCCTTTCGGGTTGCCAAAATCTTTTGGTACGTTTCAAAGAATCGCTGAAACGCTGTGCAAGATTCAATGATGGTCCCAGGATTATCCGGCGAGTAGACGAAATAAATAACAAAGTTGGTCTCAGTAGTTGCGAGGTTGGTGAATATCCCACGCAGCACTTCCATACTTTCAATCATGGCCGATCCATGTCCCGTCACCGTGGCGTCGGGAGAAGTGGTGATCCGATCAATCTCATATGGCAAAAGTCCTGCTTCCATGTCTGCACCAAGAGGCATGACTTCAAATGTGCCCAACTTTAAAAACTCATAAACACTTTTGATACGGTCCAGAAAGGTCTGGACGTTGTCTCCCATTCCAGGCCATCCAGGATAGACGCAGATAGCATTAATGTTTTTGCTGCCAGAGGAAGGAGAGAGGCCCAGGCTCTCCCAGAATGAAACCGCCGACGGCAAAACAGACAGCTTGGTGTCTGCCCTTTGGACTTCCAAATGTGGGCTAGGAATTTGATATAGGTTGCTTGGCCGCATAGCTTCGGGGTTTCCTTCTCGGCCAGGTATTTGCCGTGGCTGAAACTGGCTCAGAAGCGGTATGTCTTGAATATCCAACAAGCCTTTCAAGCGCATAGGCATGGTGTCTCCAAAAAACTGCGCAATAATATCTTCCAGTGTGTGAAAGGCGTCCCGACTGTGAGTTAATAGTTCTTGACGCTTTTGGCTGGCCGACAAAGTGGGTGCTTCGAAATCCGAGGCTCTAAAGATATCCAGCCCACCAGTTGCTGCTTGCTCGGTCACAATCTGCGCAATCTGGATCAAATCGTCATCATTCAAGGCCATATCCAATAACAATGGTTCTGGATCTGAGAACAACGCAGAGAGGGGCACTCCTGTCATGTCAGACTTGGATAGCCGCGGTAGCTCCATGGCCAGCTGATGATCGGGCTCTTCGATATCGCAATCTCTGAGCGAGGTGATTTGAGACAAGATGTCATCATCTGCGTTTAATATCCTAATACTGGCCTTGTGCGGCGAACCAGGCTCGTCTGACGTGTAGCTGGAGTCGTCTTGGTCCGATTCAGCGCTACTATCTTCTCCTGAGATCGATCCGTCCAATTTCATCGGGCTAGTCGTCGACATTTGCGGCTCCAGTGCGGAATATTGCTTAGCCATAGTGCTTCGGGTAATGGGCCGATCCCTTTGCCTCTTGCTGAGCTTGCCATGCCGTTTTAGATAGTCGGTTTCGGGCACGGCCCGAAGATCAATGCTTGGCCTTTCCATCTTTTCCACTTTTGAAAGAGCACTCAAGTCAAAGAGCCCTCCTTGCTCATATTTCTTGTTAATCATAGGCAACGCTGGGTCGAAGTCGAGGCTCTCAAAGATCTTGGCCTTTCTCAACGTGGGCTGAGAGGACGTGGTGGAATCATATTTTGGCATTTTGAGAGATGCCTTCACACGCTTAAACACCGCATGGGGGTCAAACGGGCTAGACTCGCGCTTTGCGGGCGTTACCCGTATCTCCCCCCGGCTGCGACGGGCTGGGTCTTCATTCTGGCTTCTGGCATGCTTCAGCTCGGGTTTGGCAAACACTACCCTCTCTGACTGAGGAGGAGGAAGCGGAGGAGGAAGGAGAGGAGTAGAAGTTGGTGGCGGTAGAGAAGGAATAGGGGCTGGAGCGGGAGCGGGAGTCGCAGCCTGGGCCGGAGTTGGGGCTGAAGGTGTGGCAGGAGGATGAAGAGGCAACGATGTAGGCGTTGGTGCCAGAGGGAGCGGCGTGGTCTCGACAGGAATTACAGTCTCTTCAACGGCTTCGGGTGGAGGAGGGAGTGCCATTTCTGAGCTAGATATATCAGCCATGGGAAGATCGGCATCCATGTCGTCTGGCTTCTCGTCAAAGAAGTTAAAATCGGCCTCAGTAATGTCATTGTCGTCAAACATATCACCTCCTATTTCCCCCCCAAAGACGGTCTCACCGTCACCAAGAACATTGCTATCGCTCCGGTGTCTCTTGGAATCTGAAAACTCAGGAGACTGGTCGACGCTGTCTCCCCCGGTTGGCTCGTTTTGAACAGCGGCATCCGCTTCCGCGATGACTGGAACGGATAATGGATTACCTGGACTGGAAAGAGTGCCATCAATGGACGGAGTCACACCATTCGGCTGATGAACTCCATCTGGTGGCGTCGGGTACATAATACCAGCCGTGGCCGTATTGGGACGCTGTAAGGCCACGGGTGATAGACCGCTGGGTTTGGGTGTTGTCTTTGACTCTGTGTTTTGTGGTTGGGGATCCTTGGGGAGATTGGCCGCACGCTCCAAGGCTCGTTTGGCTTTCTCTTCTCTTTCTGTAATAGAGGCATGCCATCCCTTGGCATTACCAAGTGGATCATGGCTTTCTTCGTGGCCACTCAGTACGGTGTCTACTACGCGGCTGGTAGATGATGCGTCGACGTTCTTCTTGCGGAAACATAGACGCCTTGGCCATGGCAGCGTGAATGAAGAGCTTGCACTGGAGGATCGTTGGTCGCCCCTGGTATCTGGGTTCTTCGGTTTGGGGACCAAGAGATTCACCCAAAGACAGCCCCCTAACGTCGAGGCAGCTATGCCTCGGAAATTCAAGAACCGTAAGCAAGCCTGTTTCCACAACGACTCTTGTCCGTCAAGTCCACCACGGAAATTAAAAAACTGTGTCATGGGTGTCTGAGCTAAACTCGTCAAGCCGCCGTCGCCAGGAACAAAATTCTGAGTAGCAGTCATGATGCCAAAAGGAGCAGCAAGAACAGAATAGCCAGAGGGGGCCAGACTCGAGGGAACAGTATCATCTAGTGATAATATCCCTCTACACTTCGTCAGAGCCAGGCTTATCATCAATGCTCCCGTTGTCGTCAAATACGCCCTAAAAGTGCCCAGTATCTGTGGTCTTCCGATGGCAACTCCATGCGGTTGTGCATCGTATGCCGTCGGAGAGAGTATAACAGTCCTGTAGTTGAGAGGAACTGCCCCAACTCGGCGACAGAATGTGGTAGATATCGTCAACAGGACAGACGCAATGAATTTTTCGTAGAGTGCTCTCTGTGCTGTTGATGTGGTCTTGGACTTTTCAGCCTTTGGGTCCGGGTCTTGCGTGATGGGTGCGGTGGTCTGCAAAGGCGATGACAGAGTTGGACGGTGAGCCTGTTCCAGAGCAGAAGCAGTCGACAGGAGGCTCGTTGGAGTGCCGCTGGATTGAAGGCCTTGAGATCGAGGCTTTTGTATTATCGGAGGCTCTATAACACCGTGTTCTCTCAAAGCTAAGCCATGCCCGGTCACATCGGGCGGCAGCTCAAGGCTGTCGCCCAAATCATCCGAATTTTCATCTTTGGGGAGAAATTGAAAGTGCCACAGAGCCTTTTTGGTCGCATCGTATAAAACAATGTGTCCCTTTTCCCTTAGTGAGTTTTCAATCTCAAGAGCGACCGAGGCGAAGTTTTGCGACAGATTGGATGACGGTTCGTACAAACGATAAGCGATCGACGAGACATTATTCTAGGACCCGGGGTCAGCCGAAGAGGGGAGAACCATCAAGCGAGGGGCCATGCTCACAATTAACAATGTATTAGTTTCATATTCCCCAGTATCCATATCGACTGCTTGTAAGATAAACGGCTCGTGGCAGCCGGTGACAGCGCAGTTTGCCGTCGTCGACACGAAGCCACGGCGTCCTTGGCTGTCTCGCGCAAACGGTCGGACCGACGGCCGGGACAGAAGAGCTGTGCTGCAACTGGTCGAGCTCAAGAAGCCCTGATTAGGAGGATAAGCGATTCTGATGCTCTGTGCTGCCCGAGCTCCATCTCAACGAGGGTCTTCGCCGATCGATGAGGCTGTCGAGGAGCGTCGCCCCGATAGGCGCGCGAGCTCGAGGAACCCGGTTGGTTCTAGAGTCACGAGGCGTCCGAAGCACGGGGATTAAGGGGAAGGCAGAGTCTTCAGGAGCACATCAGCCACATGCCTAATATTGCCAGCATGTGCAGCCTCAGGCCATGGGGCAGTCGAGCAAAAGAGGAGATGATGATCAAGCAACGTTGAAAATGCACCGCATCGCGGAACTGACAGGGCTCAGACGTCTCCAGGGAGTCCGAAGCGTGCTGGATCCAGCGCGTGGCGGCGATTGGCTGGCCAGCGCTCGGTCAGGCGAATCCATACAAAGCATAGTGCTTGTGTGGGGGCGGCTCACCGGTCACCGACGTGGGGCTGGAATTTTTCTTCACCTTGATTTTTCTGGTAGCCCGCAAAATTGTCTGGCATTGGATCTTTGTCTCTGCCTTTGCGACTGCAGATATTTTCAACCGAAATCCCAACGAGGGACACCTGATACTCTGCATCCGCCATGAAGCTCTCCAATCCGGGGACAGTCCCCGTCTATACAATTTCGGGCGCATCTACTGCGCGTCCTCTTCCAGATTGGCTGGCTCGCCGTCGGAAGCGCAGTCTGAAGAACGATGTTGAGTACCAGAATCGCGTCGAGCTTCTGCAGGACTTTGAGTTTGAAGAAGCCAGTCAGTGTGTCCGAATCAGTGAGGATGGCGAATGGGTCATGAGCACGGGTACATACAAACCCCAGCTGCATGTACATAACCTCCCGCAACTCTCTCTTTCATTCACAAGACACACAACCTCGCTCAACGAGACTTTTGTCCTGCTTTCTACCGACTACTCAAAATCCCTACACCTCCAGAATGATCGAAAACTCGAATTCCATACCCCCATGGGCTGCCACTATGAGGCGCGCATTCCCAGATACGGTCGAGATCTTGTATACGATCGGCAGTCCACCGAAGCCCTCATTCCCGCTGTCGGAATCGACGCTGACGGCAAGGGAGAGGTTTTCCGCATGAACCTTGAGCTTGGAAGATTCATGAAGTCATATCAGGTCGAAGTCGGAGGAGATGATGAGCTGGGCGGCGGTCTACAAGGAGGCATCAACGTTGGCAGCGTGAACTGCGCTGCCATCGCCGAGGATACCCACAACCTACTTGCATTTGGTACATCAATAGGCACAGTAGAGTTTTGGGATCCCCGATCAAGAGGACGGGTTGCGCTACTTGCCGGCCACGATGGCGGCGTCACAGCACTGGACTTTCACTCATCCGGTCTGTCGCTGGCGACTGGCAGCTCAACTGGCATGATTCAGCTATTCGATCTCCGTCGCCCTACCCCCTTACTCAAGAAGGATCACGGCTATGGCTTTGCTGTGAAGAAATTGATTCACATGACAACGGCCTCACAAGAGAAGAAGGTTCTGTCGGCCGATAAGCGCATCATTAAAATCTGGGACGAGTTGACGGGAGACCCATGGACATCGGTTGAGCCTGTGGTTGACATTAATGACGTGGCTTGGTGCAAGAACACTGGCATGTTGCTGACGGCAAATGAAGGCAAGCAGCAACACGCATTCTTCATCCCACAGCTCGGCGCCGCTCCCAAATGGTGTTCCTTCTTGGACAACATGGTAGAAGAGATGGCGGAAGAAGTCCGCACCGAGACTTACGACAACTACAAATTCTTGACCCTACCAGAGCTGAAGCAGCTCAGTCTAGCACACTTGATTGGGAAAACCAACCTGCTGCGACCATATATGCACGGATACTTTGTGGCTTCCAAGTTGTACGAGCAGGCCAGGCTCATCGCGAACCCTTACGCATTCGAGGACGAGAGACAGAAGCGCGTCAAGGAGAGGGTTGAGAAGGAACGCTCTAGCCGCATTAGAGGCACGAAGAAGGTCAAGGTCAACCAAAGACTTGTCGACAAACTTCTCAAGAGGCAGGAGAACAGAAGCCAGGTTGATACTGATGCCGGTCTTTTGGGAGACACTCGATTCAACCAGCTGTTCGAAGACGAAGACTTTGCAGTGGATGAAGCCAGTGGTGAATTCAAGGCTCTCAACCCTAGCACAGCGGTTCAGCAAGCTCTGGAGGCCAAACATGGAACGACTAAATACCAAGGCAAGGACTCTGATGAAGAGTCTAGCGATGATGAGCCCATCTCTAAGCCTAAAGATGACGTGGTGATGAAGGTATCATCAACGCAAAACGAAGGCCGACAACTGAAGGATTCCGCACTGGGTTCAAGACAGCAGAAGTCTACACGCATCAACAAATCACAGAGCGGCGAGATTCGTGGAGAGAGACAAGTCACATTTGTGCCAGAGTCAAGGAAGAAGGGGCGGCAGCAAGAGGAAGAAGAAGAAGCTCTTCCTCCGCAAAGACGTTCCAACAAGGGCAGGCGAAGTGCCAGCTCAAACACATTTAGAAAGATGTGATACCCATAAACATTTGAAATACCAAAAAGAAAGAAAAGCAAAAGGATATATGTATATACATTCGGACACCCATGAGCGATATCATAATTTCATCCATAAAAAGCACACAAAAGCAAAACTCGCCATTAGTCGTTCCTTATCGATGCCTTGACGCCCTTACTAATACCTAATCGCACTCACACCGACGCACAAGTCGCCATCGTTACTTTCCAGACTTTTGTGAGATGGATTTGCTCTCACTGCGAGCCAAGCCCTTCTCCAAATCTTCAGGTCGAAGTCGAGGGGTTGGGGGCACTTCTTCGAGCTTGGTTCGTCCACGTCGGTTGGAGCGCGTTGAACCTTTGACAGAGCGAGGGAATTCAGATCGCCTGGGAGTAAGAGCGGTTGCAACCTTTTTCGTTGATCTTCTAATGGTCTCCTTGATAGTCCATTCACGCTTCTTGGCAATGAAGAAGAGAGTAGCAGTTGTTACTAGAGGATGTCAGCATACTGGGAAATGGGCTGTATTGACGGACTGCGGATTTTGCTTACTGCCGATCAGGATGACAACCACAACAACGATGATGATGGCAACCAGGGCTCCGGTTGAGAGTGTAATGGAATTGGCAGAGCTGTCGCCCGCGGCACCGGCGTCGGTTCCATCTTGCGCAGTGATGCTGCCGGATTGGCCCTGCCACGAATCGTCCGTAGCCAGAGGGAAATATGCAGAAGTCTGCGACATGGTGGTATGCTTTGATTGGGTTCCGGCGTCTTTACTCGTATGCGTATGTATGTATTTAGTAATGGATATCAATACACGGCCAGGCGGCTCGTTTGAGGAGTCGAAATATCGTACGAGATATCTCCAAATGGGCAGTCAGCAGAATAAGAATAAAACCACAACAATCCAAGGGCTCAACCGTTGGATCGGAAATAACTGCGCCATAGTCCACCCTTTATTGCAACAGCCCGTTCTTTGTTCCCTCGCCTCCTCCCCATTCTGTTCCGCCCGCGACAAGTGCCTGCATACAAATGCCGGCCAAGGCCCATGTATCAGTAAACGCCCTGGGCATCTCATCGGCCCCGTTTTGGCGTGGCCCTGGGCTAGTTTCTCTAGTTTCTTTGTGACGCCTGTGCCTGGATATGACCGAAATTCGGTGGTGCGCCCTCATGATTGGCCTCGTCTCACCCAACAAGCGCCGACGCCAACGGCGCATGCAGGGGCCTCGGCCAATGAGGTGTACAGGATGCAACTTGTCCATCCTGTGCATCACTTCAGCGAGCCAAACAGCTAAAGCATCACTGCGCGCCCGCAGATTCTGTCTGTGACGGTTCCGTGACGACGTGAGACTAAATGATCCTATTTTTGTGACTGGGGAGAGCTGGTGCATCGCGCTTAAGGCGATTTGAGAAGGCCTAAAGTGCATCACTGTGATATTGGTGATGGACGATGGGATTTCCGATTTGGGAGGGGCAGGTCCACGCAGCCTTGGAGCCGGCCATTCGCATTGCAGATTGGGTAATGTAGGAGCTTGAGACGGTGAAGCTTTATTTAATGCAGAAGTGAAGGATTGGATGGAAGAAGCGTGGTTTCTAACTGCCATGAGCATACGCGAGGCGGACACTTTGATGTCATTACTCGCAGTGTCTCAAGAGTGTGAGACAAGGCGCTCAAGGCATTTTGAGGGTATCCGCGACGGCTGATGTGTTTCAATCATTGTATTGTGATGGTAAGAGACAATTGCCACGTAAATACTCGTGGGTTCTATTTATGTGCCTATTTCATGATCCGTTGAATCGAGGGAATGACTGGTAGCCGTTGCAAGTTGGCGAACACTTGAATAGGTAGCTTCAGATAGCTACAATCACTACTTTTTTCCAGTATCCGCTACTATCCCTGCGCCTCTCTGGCGTCTGGTACTATCTTTACAATTTTCTAGTATCTGCTATTTCTAGTATCACAGTCAAGTTTGAGATACTGGGTGCTGGATAGCCAAGTTTGGTGTGTGCTTTTGCTTCATTGCCTACCAAGCAGCTGGATACTTGACCTCAAAACCCGCAGATGAATTTTCTTATCTTGATAGAGAAATAATGAGACACAAGAAATAGAATTGCATTACATGCGCATTTCCTTTTGAAGCTGTTATCATGCCCTTGCTGAATGTCGATTTCTTCTGGGGCGGGCGTTGAGACTGAGTCTCTCCAGGAGTAGCTTTGGAAGGAGCATCAGACCTCCTTCCACAACTACCGTCTAGATGAGCTTGCTTGCTGCAGATTGACCGCCTTAATTCTGCAAATCCCACAATCAAACTGCCAAATTTATTCGCAACCTCTCCTCAAATTTATCCTCGTAGATTGCAGTGAAAACTTCGACATCTGCATACCCATTGCGTCTACCCAATAACGACAGAAGCGGGCAGTCACATTCTACAATCTCGCATCACGCATACGCAGAGATGGCTCCTCAAATGGGCATCGCTTTCACGCCTCCTGATCCTGGTGCTGGATCTGGTGGCTCAGCTGCCGTCGAGAAGTTGCCTGACTTTGGATGGGCAATCAACGAAACAGGCATCGGCAATGCATTCCCAATGATTCCAGAACTGTCCTCTCCCAAGAAGGGAGATGGCCGTCGTACACTTGGCAGCAAGAAAGAAATCTCCGAGGCAGTGTTGTCAGAGGGTTTTACCTTTCCACCCAGAGATCTACCTCGCCCTGGCCAATTCACCAATATTCAACGGCACAATCTGTTTACAAAGCCCCCGAGCCCTCCGCATCCAGAGCCAAGCCTGAATCTACCTGGTTCGCCACCAAAGGACAAAACCATGGATACGACCGCCAGAGCTTCACCCTTGGACTTGCCAGAGATATGTCTCTCAGGAAACCCAAGAGACGCAGACGCTGCTCATAAGCATGGAGGTGAAGCAGAGATCTCTCAGCGAGACGAAAATGTAAGATGGTTTGGGCTCAGCAATTCTGTTTTTGAATAAGTCACTCCTTTGAATAACGGGGTCAAATATCTAACAAAGTGCAGAAGCCGATATTTTTCATGTCTCCTGGTAGTACCAAGTCCAAAGTCATGCCTGACTCTCGGAGCCACGAGACGGACAAGACCCCCAGGCTAATGTCTCCACCAAAGCTTGCATCTTCGCCAACACAAAGCCATAATAATAACAATCTGTTCAAGGCCATTAGTCACAAAATGGTCACTCGTGAACAAGATGGCCCATCCAGTGCGCCAAGAATGAAGGTTTTCAATGATACAAAGAGCCAAAATGTACAACGCCAGCGCACCCCAAGCATCTGTGGCGATCTGGAACTTCCTACATACCGCAGTCCGTTGGAATCTCGGCCAAAAGATCCCAAAAAATATAAAGAGAGCCAAGTTGTTTTTCTCTCGCGCGATGCACATGAACGGCCATCCCATCGGCGGTCCGGCTCAACCACGAGCAGCAACATCTCCAAGAAACGGTCGCGCGATCACAAATCAGAGCACAAGTCAAAAGTGAGTCGCGATCAAAGGGCAATTCAATGTATTGGCGATTTTTGGAATCAGTGTATCGAACTTGCAGATGAAGAAACCGAGGTAACTAGGTCAGAGCTCAGAAGGCTCAAAAAGATTCTTCAAGGTGAACAGGAGAAGCTTGGAGATATAGACAAATTACTGAAAGCGAAGGACGCGGAGTTGTCCGCCCTTGAAGCGCGTTACAGCACGTTGTTTGAGAACAACAACGAAGTGACCAAAGAGAAAGAGAGGTTGGGTTCTGAACTCACGTGCCTGAAGGAGCAATTGTCTGAAGAGAAGAAGCAAGGGAAGCTTGCTAATGACAAATGTGACGCCTACCGACGCAAGCTCAATGAAACCATCAGAGAACAAGGGGTTCTCTTTCGGCGTGCGGAAACTTATTATAAAGACACGATGGACCAGCTGCGGAAAGAGAACGAACACAAAACAGCATCTTCGGAGGCCGTCGACGAAGCTTTGAAAAACAGCCTCAAGATCCGCGAGGAGATGAAAAAATGCACGGATGAGTACCGCACACAAATGGAACAAGACGTTAAAAGGAGTAAGACATTGCCTGTGAATGCCGTCGTGATATTTAACTAATCAAGCAACAGAGGACCAGGTTATATCAGAGCTTAAAGAAAAGTTACATCTCCAAGAAGCTTTATGGGCACAGGAGAAAACGTTTGCCGACAAACTGAGTGTTCAAACAAAAGAGCAAGACGCAGTACATCAGTGCATTTGGGCTTTGGAGGCCAAGGTGGATTCCTTGATGGCGCATCATACCATCCAAAGCGAACAACGCGAATTGGATGCTAGATCGAGTACGCAAATGATGAGCGCTCTAAAATCGAAGTACTCTACTCTCTGTCTTACTCTGCAAGTTCGTTCCTTCTGACATTTTGACAGGTTGGATTCTCTGCTCGCAGGTGGAAATCAGCTTGCGTCCAAGATGCTTTCGCAAGAGAATCTTGAGCTCAAGCTAGCTATCGCCGAAAAAAATATTGTTAAGAGGTGAGGAATATGTAAATCAAGCGGTCTTTTCATTGCTTACACAACAATAGCTTATTACCGGTGATTTTTTCACTGGAGAGTGAGCAAAGCAACGTCTCAAAAGCAGTGTCACAATTAGGGGGATCAATTAGGCAAGATCTCGACCGCTTCAAAGGGGAGGCAAGCCGGATTGTGAACGCATTGGAACAAGACGAGAAAGGGACCAGCGCAAGATTTCAAGAGCTATCAAGCCATATTCAGAACTTTGATTGCAGTTTGAAGAAGGCAGTGGGCTCTTGTGAAAATATTGGCCAAAGATTTGATGTCCTCGCAGGCAACGAACAAAGCAATCAACGCGAGACAATCAGTATGCTACAAGAGGTCTTGCAGCGCATTTCAGCGCACGAGAATAAATCCAACGAAACGGATCAACAGCTTCAACAAGCGTATGAAGAACTCACCAAAAAGGTGGAAGCAATGATGTCTGAGGCAATGAAAAACGGAGAAGAAACCATAGAGCCGTTGAGCAGCGCCATTACCGATCTTCGAGCCACTTTGGAGCAGGGGCTTGGGCTGGAGAGAGAGAAGACGGCGCAATTGCTTCAAGTCAATGAGAATGTCTTGAATGTTTTAACAACCCATATAAGTGAACAGAAGCATATCGCGACTCAGGATGGCGACAGAATTTCCGAGTTACAAGCGACATTAGAAAACGAGCGGGAGACGGCTGCTCAACTAAGAAACACAATCCAAGCATTTGAGCAGAAGGCTCAAGAAACTGAAATCCTCCGAGATGAATGGCTCAAGGATGTTCAAACAATTGACAAGATGCGATCACAGCTCAAGGCCATCGCGATGCGAATCCCGCAGGTCGAAAATTGCGACAAAAAGCTAGACAGAATCATGGAGATCAGTAGATCCATACAGTCATCAGCCAGCTACCTTGCAACGGAAGAGGAATGGGTTCAGTTAGAGAATGCAGACAGAATGCCGAACCCAGCTGCCTCGGATGTAGTGACATCCTGCGAAGTTAGTACAACACTGCTACCTCTCCTGGCCGAATCCGACGGCGCGGCAGAGATCCAGCCATCAACCAAGGAAGATGTTATGGGCCGCAAAGTCACTGTTTACAGTCCTGATCCAGGTGAGAGATCGCCGTCACCTCCACTAACTGTGATTCAAGAGCAAAAGCGTCGTCGTGAAGTCACTCAACTCAGATCGATTCTCAAAAGCCATGCCATCCCTGCCACAGTCGAACCAGCCAGCGTGGAAGGCCATTCCACTCGATCACAGACTGACCAAAGCAAAGTCAGTCAGACCGCGAACGTCTCTATCAACAAATCACAATCTGCTTCGACGAAGGAGATGGTTGCTGAAATTCGCTCGAGGCTGATTCAGCACAACCATACCTGGACCTTCCCAACTGTTGCTGATTTCGAGAGGGACATTCAACTATCCAGCAAGAAAAGACAAGCACCCCAGGGCAATCCGGTATCTTTAGAATCTTTTGACTCCAACCCCCGAGAGATGAAGAAGCCCAGAACTGAGCACTACATCCAGGAGTAAAATTCAGTGAGGAAGCAGGGTGGATGATTGGTGCGTAGACGCTTACGGGTGTACTGCTACTATGGGTGGAAGGAGCTTGTACTTTAAACCCAGGCACTTTGGCAGCTTATTTTGGCAGCTTATTTTGGCAGCTTATTTTGGCAGCTTATTTTGGCAGCNTTTGGCAGCTTATTTTGGCAGCTTATTTTGGCAGCTTATTTTGGCAGCTTATTTTGGCAGCAACTCACTGTTCCACAGCTAGAATGGGAAATGGATCAAAAGTGGACATATTTGGGAGTGAATTTATATTCCAATCAGACCAGATATCGTGACCTGTCAGCGCATCGAGCGCAATGCCAGCCCATCCCCAAACTCCAGAAATGCTCTTCATATTGATACATGTACATAGGCGGCCGCAGGTTCGAAGAGACCGCTCGCAACCCAATCATTAATTTCCAGTTCCTGAGGTGTATATTTTGAAATTTTACATTGCTCGGAAATATCTCTATTTGGATCGCTTTTTCGTTTCTAGGAACAGGACCTTTTTGCGGACTAAAGAGCGATAGGGAATTAGCATTGGGGCGGGAAAAAGAAGATGTATGTCTGGTGTAGGACAATTCGTACCTATCGGGTCATATTTCAGCATTCCCATCATGGGCGCCGTTCTAGGTCGCTTGAAGGTGTAGAAGAAGCCGGTCATGGCCATGGAGATGAGCCGGACGTTGATCAATCTTGCCTTTGCTGCAAAGATATTAGCGGTTGTTTATTGTTTATTGCACACGAGATTAAAAATCCCACTGCATTATGAGTCGAGAGCTTACCTTTCTTGGCCATTGTGTCGATATCTCCAGCGCTCGAAAGATGTCGTTCGATTGGTCTCTCGCGATAGCATCGTAAATTCCTAGCATGGCGGGACGGTTTCCATCCGGGTAAAAGGTGCCGCCGAATTCCGAAAAATTATGTAAGACAGCTTAAACCCCTGCAGAGCAGCTCGAATTACGTTATGGAGCCCGCCCGCCGATAGCGGCTGACCCGTGCTCTGAATCCTGCCATATTCAGAGCTAGGCTTGCAGCTCGGGGTCCATCCCGTCACCAACGGCGCAAGTATTATCACCGGTGAAGGAGCAAAGAAATTACGATATCAGCCTTGCGCAGGAATTGTCTCTCTTTTGCGGTCTCTACCCGTGTCCATTTAGCGGTGTTTTAGGAGTATGTAAGCCCTGTACCTTGTACACACTGTAGTTTAGAGATAAAGGGTGCGGCAGCCAAAGTAAAGTAGGGGAAAAGCCACGAGGACGTCTCAAGCCATTGAACAAAATCCATCCATCCACAATCCTTTTGGCATCTGGTAGCGCTCCAGCTACACTCGCGCCCTCCATCGGTGCTCTGCTATATTACGTTTCATTTTATTTCATCTCTCTTTTCTTTTCTCCTTGGTTTTCATCAATCTTCTTAATAATTTCGGCATCATGTCGAGGGCGCTGTTGACGAGCAACACGGCGCTGCCTACTGGGAGGGCACTGCTGGGTGTGTCGCGGATAGCTGGTAGGTGTCTGACTTTCTTTTTTTTTTCTTCCTCCCCATCCATTTTACCCTGTTTGCGCCGCTTCAGTTTCCTCTATCCACCTCTCTGGTACGTCATTATCATGCTTCAGCCGGCCATTGGAGCGAGGGATCACGACAATTATACGGGCCAAGGGAACAAAGCAGCTTCAGCTCATGGCTGCATCTCACAGCGAAGCCTCTCTTTTGTCAGCACTCAACATGCAACAAACACCACCGATTAAATTAAGCGCTCCATGCATCATGCTCCCACAAAACCCTCCAATGCCGCAGCTATCCCCAGATCCACCAATCTCGATAGGGCGTGCCAGACGATGCGTGGAGCGACTGATGCGCTGATTTTTCTATTTTCTGCGTGTCATGGATACTGGATGAGGTGTGGTGGTGAATCCCTTCTGGGCAATGGCTTGGGCCTAACAGCAGCCAAAAGAAGCGCGCAGATCCCGTGGATTCCCTTAGCCATCAGCCGAGAGTTTCCATGGCCTGCCGTTTGTGTGTTTGGGGGATCTCGGGGTCCAGACGCTCCACTCGCCTCCAACAGATCCTTCCCCGTGTTTTCCCTTTTTTTTTTTCTGCTTGATCTTGTTTTTATATCTCCAACATTTTGAAAGAGTTTCTTCTTGGTTTCATAGGATTCTTTTTGCCCGCTTACACAAAAACAAAAAAGGTCTAGAAGCCGCCGGTCATCGGCGATCGCTACTCACAACTTGTGCCCCGCCATCTACAACTTCTCAACCCCACCATCGCAGATTCGTCCCTCGATCTTTCTCAACTACCGCGAAAATGGGCCGCCTCAACATCAACAACATCAACCCGCACGTCCGCGCGGCCGAATACGCCGTCCGTGGCGAGCTCGCCGTCAAGTCGGAGGAGCTGCGTGCCCAGCTGAGCAAGGGCACCGCCAGCCTGCCCTTTGACCAGGTCATCTCGGCCAACATTGGCAACCCCCAGCAGCTGGACCAGAAGCCCATCACCTTCTTCCGCCAGGTCCTCAGTCTGCTGGAGAACCCCCAGCTCCTCGAGAAGGAGGATGTCCTGATCAACGGTCTGGGCTACAAGACGGATGTTGTTGAGCGTGCCAAGTGGCTGCTCAAGAACTGCGGCTCTGTTGGTGCCTACAGTGCCAGCAGCGGTGTATATGCCATCAAGGAGAGCATTGCCAAGTTCCTCGAGAGTGAGTACCGTTTCTTTCTTTTCTGATACAGAGCTGAGTCGGCTTACTGATACAACTTGCTGCTTTACAGGAAGAGATGGCTTCCCCGCCAACCCTGCCAACATCTACCTCTCTGCCGGTGCCTCGTCCGGCGTCAACACCCTTCTTCACATCCTCGCCGAGTCCCCCAAGTCCGGCGTGCTCGTCCCTATCCCCCAATACCCTCTTTACACCGCCACCCTCTCCGTCCTCAACGCCACTTGCGTTCCCTACTACCTCGACGAGTCCAAGGCCTGGGGCACTGACCTCGAGGCCATCCGTTCCTCTTATGAAAAGGCCAAGTCCGAGGGTGTCGATGTCCGCTGCATCGTCATCATCAACCCCGGCAACCCCACCGGAGCCTCTCTGTCCGAGGCTGATGTTCGCGCCGTGATCGACTTCGCCAGCAAGGAGAAGCTCGTCATCATGGCCGACGAGGTCTACCAGACCAACGTCTTCATCGGCCAGTTCCACAGCTTCAAGGGCGTTCTGCGCAAGCTGCAGCAGGAGAACCCCGGAAAGTACGACGACGTCGAGCTGGCCTCTCTTCACAGTGTCTCCAAGGGCATGGTGGGCGAATGCGGTCACCGTGGCGGTTACTTTGAGCTTGTCGGATTCGACGCCGAAGTCGAAGCCACCATTTACAAGTTCGTCTCCATCATGCTCTGCGCTCCCGTCATTGGCCAGTGCCTCGTTGAGCTCATGGTCAACCCTCCTCAGCCCGGCGAGCCCTCATTCGAGCTCTACGACAAGGAGTACAACGGCATTGCCAACGGCCTCCGCGAGCGCGCCAACGCCCTCCACAAGGCCTTTGAGCAGATGGAGGGTGTCGAGTGCGGCGAGCCCCAGGGCGCCATGTACCTCTTCCCCACCATCACCCTTCCCCAGAAGGCCATTGACGCTGCCGCCGCCGAGGGCCGCAAGCCTGACGAGTTCTACTGCATGAGACTGCTCGAGGCCACCGGTGTTTGCGTCGTTCCCGGCAGCGGCTTCGGCCAGCGGGAGGGCACTCTGCACTTCCGCACTACCTTCCTTGCCCCTGGAACCGAGTGGGTGAGCCGGATCACCAAGTTCCACCAGGAGTTCATGGACAAGTACAGGTAAATATGCCGTGTACAGGATAATTACTGTTTCAAAAATAGGGTAGAGGTGTTTTTTTAAAAGGGACTGTGAGCGAGATTTGGATATTTTTATCGCGTGGGTGGATAGAGAATAATATAGTAGAAAATGATAGACGTCTTATAAAAAAGAACTGGGTGATGTGCATTTACGGCTAAACATTTCACGTCATCCAGTGAACCCTTTTTTTTTTTTTTTTTTTTTTATTTATTCTTTGTGTCTGTTTTGATTCTTTGTTTGTTTTATCTATTGCATCACGACTCTGTATAAACGAGTACGATACAATTCATGGGCAACTTGCAGTATGACGTAGCCCTTTCTTCCTCTTTAAGTCATTCATTACTCCCATACTACGCTCATGCCCTCTCGCTGCCCCTTAGTCTGACAGCCTGGCCGTACTTTTGCAGCTTCGTAATCAACTGATCGCCCTGACGAACAACGTCCTGGTACTGCTTGTTCTTGTCGTCGGGACGGTTGGTCTCAATGACGCCCTTGCCGGTGACGCGGTCAATGGTGCAAGGGATACGTCCAGCAGCGATGAATCGAGCCAGATCGCTAATATCAAACATTCATTAGTAACATTCATCAACGACTGTAAAAACTGCAAGAAACATGTGTGTGTGTGTAAACTCACCGGTCCAAAAAGTCGACTGTGACGCCAAAGTCGTTGGCCATGCTTTCTAATCCGACGACGCGGTAGCTCTGCAGCAGCTGCTGGTATGCGCGCAGGCGCATCTCGCGGATGAACCAGCTCTTGTGCTCATGCAGGTAGCGATCATGGTTGAGGAACTGCTCCTCAACAGAAGCGAGGGACTGGAAAAAGGTCTTGTAGTTGCCATTGTACAGGCTGCTGACGAGCAGGGCGAGCGGGCTAAAGTCAATGGCCATCTCCGCCTCGGGCTGGTCGGTGCTGGTACCCAGGGTCGTCAGGTTGACCGCCGTGGTGGCCGCCGCCTTGGGGAGCTTATCGCCCATGGAGTCGTCGGCGCCGGGGCCAGCACTCAGAGCGCCGCTGAGGGCCAGCAGCTTGTCCTCGCCGTCGCCCATGATGGCCTTGATCTCGGGGGCGTCGACGACCTTTGACTTGAAGTCAACCCGCTTGAGGGAGACGGAGCCCGTGAGGACCGAGTAGACGACGAGGTTGGAGTAGGTGCAGAGTTCGTAGCTGGTGAATGTGGAGAGGGAGTCGAGCAGCAGCGGCGCGGCGGTGTTGTATGCGCGGACGGTGATGAGGTGCAGGCCCTCGTAGGCCTTGAGGCGGTTGCGGCGGTCCCAGTCGCCGCCCGTCTCGACGAGCGTCTTGGCTCGCTCGACCTGCTTCTTGACGAGGGGCTTGTCGCCGTAGAAGAGCCCCATGCGTATTATGGCCAGCACCAGGTCGATCTTGGTGCCCAGGATGCCCGTCTTTTCGAACAAGCTCTCAAACTCGGCAATTGCTTTGTCCTGCGTAGAATAACGTTAGATTCAGCTCACCTCAGCTCGACAAACCCCCCATCTATGAGAGCATCATGATATATATAATCGCACCTTGTCGCCCACTCGAGCCCAAAAGTCGGCTCGCTTGCCCTTGGCCGCCATGACCTCTGTGTCACCGGCCTGTTCCTCAGCCTCGTCCTGCTCCTTCTGGAAGTCGGCCAGCTCCTTGTCGTTGTCCTCCTTCAGCTTGGTGTATAGGTCCTCGTCCCACGGCAGGTTGACGGCCCCCGTCGCAGCCTTGGTCGCCACCATGCTGGATTTCCGGCTGGGAGGCTTGCCCGGTGCTGAGGAGCTGCTCTCGCCCACGGCGTTCAGGATGCCCTCGATGGGGTGGGCCAAGTAGCGGTAGAAGGGCGCCATCTTGTCCTGGGCGATGGCGTCTTGCAGAGCCTTGACGGCGGCCAGCTGGGACTGTTTGGACGCATAGCCGTTTGTGAGGGTGAAGACGTGCTGGGACAGCGGCAGCAGAGGCCACTTGACGTACTGGGGATCTGCGCCCATGGTAACGGTGACGGCAGCTGTATCGGGGGATGCTGGATGTTGGATTGGGAGTCAAGCTGTCGGGGAATCGAGTCGTCGAGGTCGAGAGGGAGTGACTTTGGTATGATCGAGAACGAAGACGGATGACGGAGTTGGTGTTTCTACCTTGTTCGAGCTTCCCGCAAGGCCAGCACTAGGGCGCTTGAAGCCTAGCGAGCTGCTGGCCTGGGCGCAAGGCTTCAGCAGGACACGCACCACTGCAAGTACAGTACAGACGCTGCTGTGTGGATTACCTCATCTGCCCCTCAATTGATAGGCCATAGCCTACCCTGGAGTTGGAACAAGAAAACCGGGGACGAGATGCTCAGCTCAATGCTAACCTACAGACATTGTCTCTCTAATAACTTCAACTTCTCAATTGCCTCAATATCCATCTCACGGCGCAGATACGGTAAAGATGCCGAGCTTTACCTTCACATGACCAATTCGTGGGTAATCAGCATCTACTTTTAGCTCCTCTGCTTCCATGCAAGGCGCCTCGCTATTCAGCCTCACTGTCACATCCCTGCCCACCAGTCAGCTTCTTATATATGTACATTCCCATGCCATTCAATTGGCCCAGAAGTACTCGTATATCAATCCAGACCTGTACGATATCTCTTTTGACCTGACCTGATCCTTGTCCGCCATGTTTGCCGCCTAGTCGTCTCCAATATCTGTCCTTGTTATCGGTTACACCCATCTGCTCCGTATACTATTTCGTCCCTACCTATATATACGAGAGCCTACTCCGCACTACATCACCCTGTTCATCATCCATACCATCTCCCCCCCTCGACAGCACCAAAACCAACAGTCACCATGGTCAAATTCTCTCAGCTCCCCTATGAACTCCGTGAAAAGATATGGCTGGATACCATAGAGCCTCGCCTCGTCGGTCTCATTCCCTGTCTAGTCAGCAAAGGCCGATGGAGTTTGAAAAGCACAGCTCGTCCTCCCGTGGCCCTGCGAGTCAACGCAGAGTCTCGCCGTATCGTGAGCAAATACTACAAAATCCTGGAAACTCACAGCGTTGAAAATCACAAGACCACCATCTACTCTGGGGAATTTGTTGCTCTGGATGTATCGCCGCACATCTTGTTCAACTTTGACATCGATACTCTTCACTTTGCCGACACGGCTCCTCCCGATAAACCTCTGCCAGATGTCGAGGCGAGGATAAAGCCGAAAATTCCCACCAATGCCCTGGATCTTCTTATCCTCAAAGAGTCCTTGGACGCGTTTCAAGGGCCTGGGTTTAGGCTAATGCTCAACGCATATGAACGCCTCCAGGACTGGCCCTATCTCCTCGAGGCAAAGGACGTCAGCCATGATTCCATTCGCAGCGGAGATCCGACGCTGCTCAACTGGACTCACATCCATTACGTGCGCCTTGACTTTAACATCTTTCTGTCGGATCTCGCCATCTGGTGGGGGTTCATGCATCCGTTTGTTCTGTGGATGCAGCAGGCCGTAACGCATGTCGAGGCCCCTGACGACCCAATAAGGAGCTACGACCTCGTCATGGTCAACGGCCGAGGCGACAAGCGGAAGCTGCAGAAAACATTCCGCCTCGCACTCCGTCCAGAGAAGGAGGCCGATGCAGCATATCAATCCCTGTCTCCTATTGAGCAGCTGGAGCAATACGGTGCAGTAGTCTTCGAGGAGGTACTGCCTACGCCCGAAGGCAAGGCCATTCTCTTCGAAGTTGTCGATCCTCTCATTGGAGGCGAGGCCATTGCCAAGTGGAAGCAGTTCTCTATAGATCAGAGGGCTAGGAGATCGCCTCATCTCACTGTTCTCCCGAGAACGACAGATTTTGGGGCAGACATGGCAGTGTTGTGGTACATGGCCAAAGGGAGACGGGGACTGGCTCACGGTGAGATGTCTCCTGTCCATGGTCTGTGCCTTGCAGATTATGGAAGAGATGGTGGCTTCCGCGGCAAGATTTGACATATTTTTTCCTTTTCTCATTTACCGCTGTTATGGCAGGTTTTGGACAAATTTGGGAATGCAAGGAGCGGGTTATATGGTTTACATGTAAGGTTGAAGATGAGCTGAGGCTCTCTCAACTCTTCGTTTTAATGACTGTTATGATACGAACGCGAATGAAAAACTATCTAGATAATTGAATATTCTCTGGGCAACATATTCATTCCATCATGTTTCCGCCGCCAATATCTCGACAAACGTTCCACGTCGTCAAGCAAGATCCTCGAACCGGGTTGCTGGATTGATCAGGAACCCGTCTAGAGATAGCATGTTGTAGCGCCCATGCTCATCGTCACCAATTGGGACGGCAGGGGGCTCATTTGCAAGCCGTCTGGTGAAGCCATGAGAAAGCAGTAAGCCTGTGATCCTCGCCAGCTTGATGGCTTGTATCTTGTCCTCCGCCAAGCCTCCCACCTCCTCCGTGAAAACGTCCCAAAATGTATTCTGTAAGTCGGCGTAATCTTGATAACGTGACCAGCCGTCCCGAAGATGGAGCTTGCCTGCAAAGGCTTGCAGAGTGTCAAGGTTTAGCCCAAACGGGCAGATCTCAGCTTCTGCCCAGTCAATGACGCCAACCAGGTGACATGACGTCTCGTCGACCATGATGTTGCAGGTGCTCAAGTCTTGGTGGAGAAGTACCATTGGTAAGGACAGAACGTCATCCATCGACCTGATACAATGCTCGATTATGGCATGGAATCGACTTGGCAAGGCAGAGAGCAAAAGTCCTAGCTCTTTGGTATATGTCTGACCTAGTTGGTCTCGATACGCAGAGTCGACTCTCTGGGGAGTTTTCCACGAGATTGCAAAGAAACTACAGGCCATCAGCTAAACAACATCCCTATAAACGTCTAACTTGAGGTTTACGAACCGTGCTATATCTATCATAAAGGTCTTGCGCCGGGTAAAGTTTTCTTGCGAGTTCTCGGGAAAGCCATGTGCCAAGATGAAGTCTAAGTGGGCGATTCCCTGTATACGGCACATCACGTATACATAAAGAGACTCTTTCCCTTCGATATTATCCCCCATTTCGCCTTTGAATGAGACCTTCGGCGCTAGAGCTCCGTATATCTTGCGTGCCAGTGCGGTAGTCTCGGTCTTGAGCTTTAGGGACTTGAGCCGGAATTGGACGACATATTCAAGGTCAGGCCCAGCATAGACAGAATAGCTACAGGCGCCCTGCGCTTCGACAGGGACGATGCTGCCTCCGACGAGTTCTATTGCTCGAGCGTCGCATGCAGAACGGGCTGCTGAGGTCTTCGTAAAGAAGCCGGTAATCGCTTCGTCATTGTCATATTCCGAATAGGAGATGGTCATGGTGCAATGAATCGTTGAAGTCGTTCGTAATAGGATAGGACAGTGGAGTTGAGATATCAGCGAGGGTTAGGTTTTTGGAAAGTGAAGAGAGCATCACGACATCTGTTTGCTTGTCCGTGCCCCAGGCTGACAAACATTCGATGCGTCCGAGCTCCCATGTTGAGCTATGTGACTTGGCCCTTTTCTTTATCAAGCCGAGCCATCTTTTGTGTTTCGTCTTTAATGTAGTCTTATTCCCATCTCCCTCTGTGTGGTCAAGGTACCACGGCAAAGCTTGTTCCCATCACCTCGCCGACGAGATGACCATTCTCTCGCTGAGACGACTAGTCGACATAGGGTAGTGGAATAGGGGTTCGGATGGAAAGGGGAAATAAGAGGACGGGCATCTCGAGCCGAATCAATGGCTTGTGTCCTATACATTCGATGAAGCCTTGCTACATGTAGTCTCGTAACTCATTAAGGAATATAAACCTAGATCTTCTCGTTTCTACCAACCACCACATATGGAAACTAATGTACCCTCCGTATCTTGCTTACACGAAGATTCAAGGTCGCTTTGTATTCGGTGAAACGCTCCGTCATGGTCTTGCGACATTGGGCTGGGAAAAACATATCGCCTCTTTACAAGATATGAATGTTTTCATTACATCCGGTGACTCTTCATGTAAATAGATAATGGGTAACTTATCATTAAAGAGCTATAAGGAGTACATTATGTTGCATCCTTATCTTCAGGGGTAAAGTTCTAGCGAGGCTGCTGCAAGCTTCCACCACAGACGCCTCAACGGCCGTTTGCTTTATGTTCGCCCACACTCTTTGCAAACAGAGCCTCAGCCAGCGAAATAACTTTGTGCAGGAAAAATTAAATAAACGATAAACAAAACAGTGAATCACATAAACAAACAAACGGCTGCCCACGTGACCTTTCTCGCCTACTATATAACACATCCCTCCCTCCCCTGCCTGCTCTTCAAACTTTCTCCCACACAACACACTCTTCATTTTCAAACCGTAAGTGACTACTTCTGGAGTTTTTTTCGTTTCTCAAACCTGGAACTATTGTAATAATCTCAATTAGATTCAGATAACAGAGATTATTCGAACATTCATCATGGAAGGCAGCCGACGGCGCCTCAATACCAGCTCTGAGATCTACCCTACGTCGCCAAGGCTTGAGAAAGATATATCTGATAACCTCACCCTTCTTTCTCTTTTGGATGCCAGTGCTGGAGAAAGCTCGGCAAACAATCCTCAGGTTCTTGGCCTCGCCGGTCGGGAGTTGGAGCTTCACCGAATGCTCTCCCTGCGAAGTCAGATTTCGACTACTTCTTCCGACGCACAGCGTCATACTGCTGCCCAATCTCGGAGCGAGCCCACGTTTCGAAAAATCGGTGCTGGCGCTTGCGGTGCTGTCTTTGGGCAAGATGGTAAATCCATTGTCATCAAATTAGCCAAGACAGACGATGAGCTGTCACTCTGGAATGATTACCACAAGCACACCTCCATCGCAGAGCAGTTTCGCAAATGGGAATTCAAGGATGTCAGAATCCCAGAATGCTACTACTTTGTTCCAAAGGATGACCCTCACTATTTCCGCCAGAATCCAGAGCTAGCTCAGGCAGCTAGAGAAGTATGCCATCTCCCTACCAGCGCCCTAGTCACCGAGCGCATCCTGCCACTCCCAAAGGATACTCGCATTCACTTGATTGAGAAGTACTGTGCGCCACGAATCAAAGCGGCTGCTCTTGGAGATGAGGCGAACAAGGATTGTTTGGTGAGAGTGTATCTTGGTTCAATGCAAGGCAAAAGCGGAGGAATGTTCTTCTCTCTGCGAAATTTCAAGATGCACCTCAACCAGATCGTGGACCTCCAGTTGGACGTCACGGCAATGGCTGGTAGGATGGGCATTGCCATGGCGATTATGCATTGGGCCGCCAAAACAGACGCACGCGATATCGAATTTGTTCTCGGCAGCTCTTCTAGCAAGGCCACAGCTCAACTGAGTGCACAAGATATTGCAAGGCTTCCAGGCCCAGTATACACCGGTCCACACTCATACGTCAACGAGGATTTCTTTTCTCGAATTACCGATCTCTGGGTCCTGGATTTCAACCAAGTTCAGCCCATCACAATGGATGAAGCTGGCGTTGCAAAGGCCATTGAAGCGGCCAAGGTCAACGATCCATATCTTCCAAAGCCTCTTGGAGCGTCTCAAATCGAGAAGCAAGCCTGGAATACTTTCGCTTCCAACTACATCACTGCGGCCGACGCCATTCTTGGAGACGAAGGCGACCAGAATTTGATGATATTGCCACGAATGTTTATTCGTGGGCTTATCGATTTGCAGGAAAGAAAGAAGTAGAGCAAAGGTGATAATGGGCATGGATACGATAGATACGATTATGAGAATAGATGTTAGAGCACTAGGGTGATCTCTTAGGTAGTACCGGTGTATTAATACGAATCATTACGGCATGCATATGTTTCCACCGCAAATAGCACATCTGCTATGTCTAGTGAACATAAATGTGATATTTAGGTCATCCATCATTTCCCCAACTCGCCCCTGAATAACCTCCCCCTTCACCCCTGAAGCGAATATCCAACATCACCACTCTCACTCCCCAGCTTCACCAACCTCTCCCTCATCCCCTCCGCCCTCCTCCTCTCCCCCTCCTCCTCCAGCCCCGAGAAATCAACACCGTCAACCCATCCCCCAACCCCATGCTGCAACACGTTCCTCGCCCGTAACTTGCTCCCCCCAACATGTCCCACCGACCCATGCAGCGTCACCCTCTCCTTCTTCGAATCATACACTCCCCGATGCAAAATATTGTTATTGTAAAACGCGATATCGCCCGCCTCAAGCTTCACGACAATCTGCTCCGGAAGCTCCTTTTCAAACGGCCCAGCATTCCGCTCAACATCCGTCCTCGCCCTCCGATGCGACCCCGGCACCAAAACAAGCGACTCATCCTCCCACAGTGCAAAATTATACTGCGCGTGAAACGCCGGCCTACCAAGCCTCTCCATCTCCTCCTCAGCCGACGCCTCCGCCGAAATGTCGTCCCGATGCCACCTCAACTCAAAGTCCTTATCCGGCCTCACCAGCATGTTGAACAGCTCCATCACCAACTCCTCATCCTCACACTGCAGCAACTCCCTCACAATGCTCAGAATCTCCTCCGAAAAGTACAGCGCTGTAAATGTCTCGTGGCCGGGCATCGAAGGCTTCATCAGGTGCTGCACGCCCCAGATGCCCTTTTCCATCGCCTCCTCGTGGTTCCACGGCGGGAACTGTTTGCCTACGGTCCGCACGTGAGGCCATTGGCCGCTGCGGGCGAGCTGCTCTGCTTTAAGGCTGGCGGTGCGGAGGGCCTCGAGTTTCGAGGGGGAGACGATGGATTTGATGACGACGAAGCCGTCGCGCTGGAGATTGGCTAGGTGGGAAGATGTAGTTTGCGCAGGCATGATGTATGTGGTTGTGGCTTGGAGTTGCTGGCGGTTTCTTTCTTTATTTCTTTTATTGTAGATATGATTAGAGAGTTGAAGGCCAGATGCCTCTTGAGAGAAGGTTGAAGATGTATCTACTCTGTAAACATGAGATGTATTGTGCCTTATATCATGGGAATGCGGGGCTGGCTAAATCCTTCTACCGTAAATCGAAGCTCGATTTTTATACGAAGCCCCTCAAGATTCACATGCATTTCCACAACTAGTCCGTTCTATATTCACAACTAAACTCCATTTCCTTCTCCAGCTTTCAGCCACGGCGGCACAGCCTGTAGATCAACATCCCAAAAGAGCAACCAAACATGCCCGACTCAAACCGAACCGAGGCCACCGAATATCGGTTCGATATACTCCGTAGCGATCAAGTAAAAAACCGGGGCAAACATACGATCCTTTCCCTCTATTCTTTCGGGTTTCACACAGTTAAATCGTAGTAGTTCGCTATTTCAAACTCCATAGTTCTGCTCTAAAATAAGTCAAATGCAACGTACCATCCCACCCACCCCCCATCTTTTAATACCCATCCTTCACATCTCACACACTCTCCGGCCACCGCACGATAAATCCCTTAACCGTCTTCTGCACATCCAAATCGCCCGGGTCGTTTTCAAAAAGCGGCTTCTCCAGCTTCTTCTCCAAAACTTGCTCCACCTCGAACCCTGCCTCGCGCGCCACATCGAAAAAGCCCATGTCCAAGTCCTTCTTCCACGGCCTGTACGAGGTGAAGAATACGTAGGCCGCGCTATCTCGCGAAACCTTCATCGTCTCCCTGATTGTCTTGACCAAGGCGCCATGTTCTGAGTGTCGGAAGAGTAGATCTGCGAGAATCAACACATCGAAGCGCTTTTCCGCTGCCGCTGCACTTGAGCTATCTTCATCGGATGAAAGACGGGCAATGAGAGGCACCGGATCTCCACCCCAGACAAACCCAGCCGCATCAATCGCTTTTGCAATGTGGCCCTTTGGCTCTGTGGTTTCATCACACTCATCAATGTTCTTCTGCATGTTCATGACGAGATCCGGATCAGGGAAATCAGTCATGACAACCTTCTTTGCTCCAAGAATGCCAGCCACAAGTGAAGGAAGCCCCGATGCAGCTCCGAGCTCCAAGACAGTCTTGCCTCGTACCCGTGCAGGGTCCTCCTCAAAGTAATCCGATATGATCTTTGCGCCGTTCCATAAATGATGTGCCTCCGTAGGGCTGGAGCCAACCAAGTGCAAAACAACCTCCTTGCCGCTTCCCATGGTGAAAATTTGCTGCGTTGGTGGAGGGGTAGAGGGGTAGTAGTCTTCGGGATCATCCATCAGGCCCCCCGTGCCATAGTCATCGCCCTCTTCCATGATGAAGTGTAATTAGAGAAATGTGCGTATTGCCGAAAGAATAATCAACAGAGTCGGCTTGTCCAGGCTCAAAATAACAAGCAACTAAACAGCCGACTGTATGCCAATTTTCAGCCGTTGTGGTGCGAAAAGCCTGGAGATTTCGCTTTTCCAAACGATTTGGTGGTTCGTGCTGCTATCCAAAACACAATCTAAGAGACCCGTTCTGTGATGTCACAGCTAAGAAATCAGATGTGTTGTGATGTATCAATCTCCAACTTTGATGAGTCCAAGTCGCATCTCTCAATTTTTTGGTGTTGGTGGGGTGAGTTTTGCAAGCGCCGCCCTCACAGTGTGAGATCCAGCCCAAAGACTCACAGCCACCCGTCTTGATAGTTCAGCCGTCCTCAAGGCACGGGTATCAATTGGGTTTCCAGAGATCGTCCTCGATTCGTCGTAACCCTGACAATCTAAGCCATGGTTGAAGCTGAGCATGTAGAGAAGCACATATCTTCAACTCCGGGTCGTTGTAGACAGACAGACGAGGAACCAGCGCCTTCGATACGCCGCATCCATCTTCAAGGCCCAAACCGCTGTCTGGCCAACTCTCTCAGCATACTCACCGTCTCGTCCTCCCTCTCCTGCCACGCCCTCCTCTTCTCCGCAATCTCCTCTCTCCTCGCCCTCTCCATCTCTTCCCGTCGAATCTCCCTCTCCGATTTCCGCCGCTGCTCCTTCTCCTTTGCCTTCTTGTACTCTTCCAAGCTGTCGCCTCCTCCCATCAGCTCGCTATCACGCACTTCTCCACCAGGGCTCTTTTCTCGAAATGACCGCATCTTCTCATTGACCTCTTGTCGCTTCTCAAGCTTTCGCTCGCGGGTGCCCGCCTCGGCGCGAGGGACTAGCTCTTCGAGACGCTCCTTTTGCAGCTTCCGGTCAGCTTTGCGGGCAGCGCGTAATTCTTCCCGATCAGCCTCTCTAGATTCCGCGACAAGCTCATCGCGTATAGCAAGATCATCCTTGGTCGGAATTCCAACGCCAGCTCGACGGCTGCTGGTTGATGCGCCTGGAAGCACAGGGCCGTAGTCCTCATCCTCGTCCTCATCCTCGCTCCCGGAGCTGTCACGATGCCCGACTTCTTCTCGTTCCCGTGGTGCATCTTGCGGCTCTGGCTGTCTCTTGGGTAATGGATCCCGCTCAAGGATCCGCTGGAACATGTCGGGATCGTACCACCCCTCAGCCAGCTCTCCACGATTCCACTTGCCCACGAAGCTCTTCCACCGACCTCGAACCTCCCGATCATCCATGTCTTCGATGTTCCGTTGCTTCTGCAAGCTCAGGTATTCACCAAAGAGCGCCTCAAACGCCCCAAGGTCATCTTTTGAAAGTTGTCGGGCCCCATATGGCAGCGCTACTGCCACTTGGCTCGTCTGTTTGCTTGCACGACTCGACGAGCCATGGTGCCCATCGGAGGAGCGCGGCCTTCGGGGCTCCCTCTCCCTATCTCTCCTTCTGGGTGACCTTCTCCTGCGCTCCCCCGAGTGTCTCTGCGGGCTTCCATCTGGTGACTGAGATCTATTGTCGCGGTGGCGCCGTGAGCCTCCTTCCTGGTGTGAAAGGCGATGACGCGATTCATGTCCGTCGCGTGTCGAAACCCTGGAAGACTGAGGCATGTTGATTACTCCGTGCACTATGTGAGCATGTAATGAGGCAATGCGTCCAATAGGATGCTGACGAGACTCCCAAAAAAGAAGCAGATAGTCAGAATGACCAATCTCAGCTCGTGTCGCAATTATAGCAAATCCGAAAAGCAAGAGGTGCAGTAAGGCTTAGCCAGGTATTGAATGTCTTAGCTCTGAAGCTGAGCCAAAGCGTGAGAACTTTCTTAGTAGAGTAGCACAGTGCGCCCCACAGTCTCCGGCAGTCATGCTTTTCCCCTAGTGGCTGTCAGTCCCTCCCATTGTTAAGGACATGGATTTAACTCTCGTCTTCTATTTGAAGATATTCATACTTTATTTACATAGGCAGATATTCATAGATCCTCATAGATATGGTGTGTAGATACAAGGGGAAGAGATGCGAATTGTAAATTTTGACCCACGTTGGCTACCTAACGACAGAAATACTAGACTGCAATTCAGTTCCAAACACTCCCTTTCTACTGTTTATAACATGGTGGGTATCTATCATAAGGAGCAAGTAAATCAAACACTGCGTAGTATTCCTGGGCGGCCTCGATAGGATTCGTGGTTCATATAACGCTTCCAAAAAATTCAGTATCGGGCTCATGGCTAATATCATACCGTGGCCCCTTTTATCATTGCTCCCTTTTTCATCATAGTCCAAGTTCAACGCCTTCGAAATCGGCTGAAGCGGAACTATTGTGTATGGCGCAGCCAATACACTGGCAGTCATCCCCGCAGGGACAGCTGGCCATCTCTCCTTCACACGAGTCGCCAAAGGGGTAGCTAACGAAGAAAAAGTCATTCGCCGACAAGATTGGCTCCTCGCCAATGCTCGAGTTGGCCTCTGAAGGCGTCTGCGCCATTGTCGGCGACATGGTTCCTTCCACCTTGGCCATGACGGGCGTCGAAGCGCCATTCGGCGAGTGGTTAGCGGGCGAGACCGTCTCGTAATTGCCGTTGGGAATGCTCTGGGCACTTTCAGAATGCCTGTGACGCTTATACGCATCCTCTCCAATGCTCATGGCAGACCGCACGTAATTCTGCGTCGGTTGGTTGTACGGGTGTGTAGCACAGCCTACGCACTGGCACGAGTCTCCGCAGTCGCACTGGTGGCCTGTCCATGAATCCGCCTCCAAGCCATTGGACTGAGACAACTGCAACGGGCCGGCCGCATTATATGGCATAGCCTGAATATTCGCCATTGGTTGGGGAATATTCATCATCACCAACTGCCTATACTGATCAGGTTGAAGAGGTTGAAGATAAGAGCCGTAATGTGGTGGATATGCGAATATAGTGGGTTGAACCATGTAAGGATACACGGCATTTGGCATGCCCATCGGAATATTAAACTGCGGCATCATCAGGCCGTTAACCTGGTTGGGCATATGTTTGTGTGGCTTGATCTCGGGCTTTTCCGCTCCAGATGAGCAACAGCTTCCAGGCTCGCTCTTAATGATGGGTTTCCCGTTTGGCATGGGCGTCTGCTGTTCATCTGCTTGGGTAGCTGTCGATTTCCCACTCCCGCAGCAACTTCCGGCTGCCGGGGGGGTAGTTTGTCCATTCGTGACGTGAGCGTGGCCATTCGACGGTGCCGGTTTGGGTGCAGTGTGGTCGGCGATGGGATTCGCTGACGCTACCTCCTGGTATGAAGGAAATAAAGCTGGGCCAGGGTTGAAAGCATTACCATTTGGGACAAAGCCCATTATGCCATGGCCGATAGGTATTGTGGGTATGCTGCCGTTGGGCGATTGTGGAGACCTCGATTCAGGAGATGATAGAATGTTTAGCTGGCTCGCATCTATTCTCTCCAAGCTTGCAGCGTCGATGGGTTTCCTGCCAGAGGCAGTCTTGGAGTTTGTTTTCTGCACGCGGTATGCTGGTTTTGTTGCGGATCCTTTCGTGGATGGGCTTGGAGGCGTGACCAATCCGTTGGACGTCTCTGGACTCTCCTGGTCTCCCGCCTTGCGGCCAGGCGCCTTTTCTGAAGTGCCACAGCGGCATTTCTGTTTCTTGGGGAAGGCAGCCGTAACGGCAGCACAGCCGCAAAGCTGTGACGAGGGATGCGGACACGAACTGAGCGGTCGCCCTGGCTTACGCACGGGGACCATGAGCCGCTCAGAGGCGTGTGTGCATTTGGTGGAGCGATGGCCTCGGATGCACGGCTCACTGCACAATGACGGTTAGTGGCAATGAAAGTCGAGCAGAGAAGACAATGACGCAGAGGCTCTGCTCATCAAGGTTACAAAGTAGAAGAGAAAAAACAAAGGCACATACCAGGCCATCTTCTGCCCGTTTATCAGAGGCATGGCGGGATACGGGGTGTGATTCTGCGCTTAGGGTCGTCGGATTTCAAAACAGCTGCGCGCCTGAGCCAATGCCAAGTGCAGCGATGCGCCTCAGTCGAAAAAATTCTGTGTATCGCAAACAGCGCGCTTCAGCGCTTCAAATTAGGCGAGGAGTAGTCGTAGACGCAAAAAATCACAGCGGCATCGAAGGTTGAATTGGCCTGTTGATCGTGTAATGATGAATCAGCCCGTCGGAAATAGTTTCCCCCCAAATATGTCGTGATAGCAGAGGCTGCCGCTGAATAACGATAGACCCCCCGGCGGGAGTCAGCGAATGGCGGGGAGAAAATGGCCAAAAAACGTTCGATTTCGACCAAGTGCCGTCGAGTAAAAATAGCCGTCGACGTTTCGATCAAGAGTGCGAGTCCGTAGCAACCAAGGCTCGGGTTTCCAGAGCAATTGTATCCAGCAATCCTCTCATGCAGTCGATTCCCTGCCCTGATGGCGTTCGCACACGCCAAAGTCGTTTGAAGTCGCAAAAAAGAAGGATGAAAAGGGCAAAGTTTAAGTGCAAAACCACAATGAAGCGACAAAGGGACATGGCCTTCTGTGGCTTGCGCATCTGGAACCGCTGACTTTGCACTCATTTCCCCAGGCGGCGTGCGGGGGGCCTTCGTCGCCTTCCCAGGGGCTTCTTTAGCGGCTAGCCTCAGTGATCACAGCGGGTGCATCTGCTGCAGCTTCAGTGGCCTGCATGCGCTAACTAGGGGCCGCAAGGATGCTTCGTGAAACGCCGTGCGTCAAACGAAACATTTTCTGTTGCCTTTGTCTTGATCCGCCTTGACCCTTCCGCTTGAAGATCGATATTGCAACTACAGTTACCTTACTGCTTACTGTGCTCCGGGAAATGGAGAACATCCATGAAGCCATCGTCGTCATGGAGGGCCCTTGAGACGAAGTGAGAACATGAGGCTATCGGCTACCCGCTCCTCAATACCCGGTACCCGCCGAAGCAGACACACTCCAGGGCCATTGATGTTTAATTCATCAATGAATGGATCTTTTCGGAGAGTTAATGTACAAGCAAGTATGTAGCGAATGGATCAGCCCCCAGTCCAACGTCATTGTATCGAAATGATGGATATCAACTGTACTTGGCGCAGTAACAGCATAGAAACGCAGAATCTTAACGACAGCATCTCCAGCGCATTCGTCCAGCAATCGGGTAAATTGTCCCTCCAATCCACGGCATCAAATCAATAATCCAGCCCGTCTCCCACCTAAAGCCGGACCCAATCCACACCGCAAACCCGCCCCATTCACGCCGCTCCCGAAATCCCGAAAGCACCGGAGCCGTGCGACTTTAAATCGGAAAAGGCAGGGCAAGAAACCGCAAAACTTTACAGTACAGACCCAAAGAAACATATGCAACGATTAGCATCTCGCCAATCTCGCAAAAGCATCTTCATCCAACGCACAAGCAGCAAGTTCAAAGTTATTTTTATCTTTTTGTCAATCTCCACTGGCAAAATCGCCCAGAGAAGCAAATGTTCGCCCGTGCCCGCACATAAGTTGAGCAAGTTTCTATTGGCTGGTCTCCAGACCCGCGGTGCGCGCACTTCTCACACGCCTTCGAAAGGGTCGGCCTATCTCATGCTCCTTTTGCACCATTGCCTTACCAGTTCTTCTCCAGCTACCTACAGTAATAGCCGCGCGCATGCTTCCCGCTGTTAGTGAGGGCGCACAGCTGTATGTGATTATCGATGTTGTCTATTAGCCAGCTGCCCGACTGGGACAAGTAATCAGTCAGTGCGGCCGCCATGTCTTGATCCTATCTCCGGATGCTATAATCAACCGCACATGTATCTTCTGTGACTTTTGTTCAATTCTGTCCTAGATTTTGTTGCTCTTATTGGCTACCAATGTCTATTTGTGGCCTGACTATTTTTCACATGAGTGAATTCGAATTCCCGAGAAGCTCCATATATGGGATCCCCCAAGGCATCGGTAATCTAATAAGCAATAGTACATAGATAGGCTATCTGCTTTAATCAAAAAAATCAATCATCATACGGCCCAAAGAGGCTGCAGCTCTTGTACAAGGCGCTTTAAACCTATCCCATTATACCCTTCCAATACGCCACGGTGCCCCCGTTCGGGCCCTGTTATCCGTAGATTATCTCAAAATCATAAAACTCCCGGATCATCATCTGCCATAAGTTCCGTCTCCCGGCTTCAAACTAGTTGCCGTCCGAATTGTCCGAATCAGCAAACATATCGGCCGCTCGCATTCGCCTTCTAGGCTGGCCTCGACCTGCAGAGTGCGACTCCGCCTGAGGGTCTGCCTCCACATCGTTTGATGTATCCGCAGCCTTTGCATCATCACCGCCTTGTTGTTCAGCCTCGTTACTTTTACCAACATCAGCCACGTCTTCATCGTCGTCTTCATCCATAGGTTCTCCGATTACGTCGTCGTCGTCATCCTCAATCGGTTCTCCATCGAGATCTTCATCTGCAAGGGGTTCGCCATCAACGTCATCTTCTTCGATAGGCTCGCCTACTGCTTCCTCCTCTTCCGCTTCTTCCTCCTGCTCCTGCTGTTGCTGCTGCTGCGCCGTCACGTCGGCATCACCAGTAATAACAGGCTCAGACGTTGTGGGGGCGGTCTGGTTGGCTTCGACGACCTTCCATTTCCCCTTCTTGATGGAGTCATCAACCTTTCCTTGCGCCTTGAGCGTCGGTGGATTTTCAAATGCGCTCACAAACAGTGCATGGCTTTCTACCGGAAAGACGCACCATCCCTCCCATAGGTTTAGCACAAGGGTAACGCTTCGTTTCCATTTTTCCGCACGTAGTCGACCCCAGCCCAATTTTTCAGCCATCATGCCTAGGCGTTCGAACACCTTCCTGGAGCGCATGGCTGTCTCGAGAAGTTGTCGATAGCGCCATGCATGACGTACACTGCTGGTAGAGGATGATGACAGAATATCGCTAACCACATACAAGCCAACCAAGGTGGCCGCGCTTGCGTCTGTGTTTTCACTTGCAGCAACGGTGCCTTCTTCGGTGCCTGCAGTTTGCTGCTCTCCTTTGCCTTCCTTTTTCGTATCTTGGTTGGTGACCGCCAACGATAGCGGCCGTTCAATGTTGGAGACGACCAAGTCGACAACCTCATCAGCACCGCGGCTAACATGGGTAATGGCAAAGGCCGTTACTCGCGCAATATCTCCCTTGCGAACCTTGCCAATCGTAGTGGGTAGGCGGGATAAAAGGTGAACTAGTTTGGCCTTTTCCAGTGGATTGAGAAACGTCTTCTCCTCTTCGCCAGTTGGGCCGCCGTCACGGTTTGCGTCTCCGTCAAAGTCTTCATCCTCTGAAGAATCATACTCCCCGTCTGAAACGAACTCATCCAGCCTGGTGGTATACTCGAAGCGAAGACCGGTTTCTGGTGTTTTCCACGCATGGCCTCCATCAAAGAGCGGGACATACTTGCCCTTCTTCTCTTGTAAATGTGAGCCAGTAATCACTCCCCAAAGCGTCCATCGATACCAAACGCCGCCCTGGCTCCTTGCATCCCATAGCCAAGCCCATCTTTCCTCTCTCTGAACTGATGCACGGGACATGAGTAGAGCCTCAAAGTCCGGGCCGTGTTCAAGGACACCTTCAATCACCTTGTTGATGAGTCTAATCATTCGAATATCCTGAGGTGGTTTGACAGGCACATATAACAGGCCAGTCCGATTTACACCCCCTTGTCCGCCAGAGTATGAAGACGGCGGGGCAAATCCCCGGTGAAATCCATGGCGTGAATGATCGTTGTGCCCAGCTCCAGACTCTTGGTCTACTGCCTTTGCCCCAAAAGGTTGAGATGAAGAGCCAGAAGAACCCAGCCCCGATAGCGTAGAGTTGCTAACGGCAGAGGAAAGATGGCGATGGAGTGATAGATAATAGCCGTAGCCCATATATCGGTTCTGCAACGAGCTTACTGCAGAATCCATATCTGTTGCAGGAGTTTCTTTAGACAGGGTCACGATGGCAACCGTAGATTTCCTCTCAGACCCTCCAGGCCCGGCTGGAGGTTGAATTTTGACATTTTCGACCGTCAGGTTCGTAGGTAACAACGATTTGATTGTGGCGGGGGAGATTCCTGGAGGTAGATTAGACAGCCGTAGAGTCGGCCTCGCTATAGCCTTCTCCTCGGCGCGGTCGACCATCTCTTCATCGTCGCTCTTGTCCTCGAATTTCAACGTTGCTCTGCCCTCTGATTCTTTAGAAAAGTCGTTAAAGGACCGTTTCTTTCCAAACGGCATAGGCGGCATCCCCAAGCTCCCTGGCCCGCTCTTCATCCCCGACGACGTGCCAAAGTGCCGCCGCGATGCGCCGCTGGGACCCGAGGGCGGCGGCGGTCCGCCAAAGTTGCCAAACCCAGGCCGCTGATTCCGCTGCGCCGACGCGCTGTGCTCTGCATGGTCATCCTCGTCGTGATCAAAGCTCTTGATGAAGTCTTCGTATACGGCAGCGGTTTCTGCAGCCTCGCGCTTACGCTTGGCTTCAGCCTCAGCCTTTTGCTTCTCGAACACGGATTGTTTGGCGGGTTTTTGGAATTTGGATTCCAACCGAAGTGGATCGGCGGGATCTTTGGAGGATGACATCGCGCGTAGAGATTGTGTGAGGCCGGAGGAGATTAGAAAGTTGCTAGGCCATGATATGGGAATGTCTTTCGGTTGAGTCGAGCTTGAGCTTAGCAGTAGCAACACAAAAGTCATAGCGCCATCGACCAAGCACCGAAGCGTATGCATGCATTTATCAGCTACAGTTCCATCATTAACAGCATCAGCCTCGATAGTGGCATAATTCTGCCTTGGCTGATAGGAAAGAGCAAAGCCCGTAAACCACAACCATTCACAAAAATTAAAAGAGCACAAATTATTTTTTTTCCGACTTCAACATTTTTCATATTACTGCCTACACCAAGTATCTACCAATCTTTACTCACAGACGACTCATTCGACCCTGGTCATCAATACCAAAATGCTACCAGCCCGGACATGCCGGACGAGATGACGGCATGTCTTGCCTCATCTCCCCGATAGTTCCTCTTGCAATATCAACCCTGGACTCCCTCCCCTGCTCCCGTCCATCGTCACCAGCCCCTTGAACTTCCCACCAATTTCTCGGCCTGCGTCTGCTGCTGCCTCCTTCTTCCACTTCCACTTCTCTCCGAGCTTGCCTCCATTCCCTGCCATACAGTCCACCAGCTTGTCTCCAAGGACGGGCAAGAACTTATACGCGTGCCCGCTATCGCCTGTCGCAACAAACAGCCCTTCCCAGCCCGGATGCCAGTCCGCCAGGAAGTTGCCGTCGCTCGTGTCGGAATACCAGCACAATCTCGTTTGCTTCCATGGCCGGCTGTCCAGCCCTTTAAGGGGGGACATGTCCCTCATGGCTTGGCGCAGCGCCTGGTCTGCGTCTGGCGGCAGTGAGGTAGCATTCCTGCTCCCATCCCGTTGTGTCAGTGGTCTCGACACCACAATGGGCTTGCGTTCCTCGGAGGGCGAGGCAGGCAGTGCTGTCTCAACAAGCACTGGGTTGAGGTATCCAAAACAGTGTCGCGCAATCTTCAAGACGCGCGACTGTGGCGGAATGATAAACAAGCCAGTGCTGAGATTCAGTGCAACGGGCTGCTTCGCCAGCACCTCAAGCTCTTCCTCTGAGATGTCGATGTAGCCCAAAGGCTGGGCTGTAGCCTCTACTCGTCCTCTCAGGTCAATCAAGCTGCCCGTCCATGCGCCTGCAGCAACAAATACGATTTCCGCTGTCAGGACTTTGGAATCGCTCAATCGTGCGCCAACAACTCTCTTGCCTTCAGTAATGAGTTCCTCCGCTCGTCCATCCACAAAGTTGACCCTGCCTGTGGCCTTGACACGGTTATACATGAATCTCATGCCCTCGCCGGCATTCGCCCATCCGGAAAGTTCATTGACATACCCCCAATCGCCGGGATGGCCATCAACGCCCAAGGCGTGCTGCAAAGCCGCGGGTGTTTCCAGACGTCGAATTTTATGGGCCTGCCCGCTCTCATTGGCGATGCGTGTTGCGTTCTCACAACTGGACTTGGTATAGCCCATGCCTGACATCTTGGGCTCCGTCGACTCATTCGCCGCAAGAAGCAGGCCAGACTCGGTATATCGTCCCTGACCACCAAGCTCATCGTCACCTTGTTTGCGCCACTCCTCTTGCGCAAAAGCTGCCAGCTCGGCATAATCCGGGTCGGCATAGTCAGCTCGGATGATTCTCGACGAGTCTACACTGGCAGAGTCTCCCGGTGGGAAAGATGCTCCACGCGCATCGTCCACGACGGTGATGACTGTGTTATCAAAGGACGACCTCTTGGTGAGCGCCCAGGCGGTTGAGAGGCCGAATACTCCCGAGCCAATGATGAGGATGGATTGAGGAGGGTGGCTCATTTTGGAATTCGCCGGTTATTTCAAAATCGTCTTGGCCAAAACGAATGTCATGCGCACAGAGATTTGGACTTCTCGGATATTTATTCTTTATTTACGACTGCCGCATGCTATCGGTTCTCTGTCATTACTCAGAGGATCTACAGGTCCAACTTCAAGGAGGGGTGTCAATTCTCGGGAGGGGCATCCGATAGTCGGGCAACTATCGGCTTACCGAACGCACACACACAAAGGCCACCCCACAAAAATCGGCATGCCGTGAGGAGAGAGAACTACGTAGAATCACATCGACGCACGAACGCAGGTGAGATCAGGCGACATACGACGGTTTGAGGACAGAATCAAGCATTCTTGTGATAATGCTAACTGCAAAAGACCAGTCATGGCTAGACTTTTGTAACAGCTACGCCCTGTTACAAGGACCAAAAGGGCGTAAACTAATCATATCTTGTCCCCCAAAGGGCGTAAGATGTCCTCATAATTTGTTCAGCTCCACAACCACATGTCACGGAGCTGCAGCTTCCTCGCAGCACCAATCAGCCACTCCATCTTGGCTGCTCTCCCACTTCACCAGCAACATTCCTTCGATCCACTTTCAACTTGACCTTTTCCCCCTCGAAAGCATTAAAAAGGCCGTGAGAGACTGGCATAGCAGTCTGAAGGCGGCCACGAGCAATCTATGTTGTGTCGCGGGATGGGTAGTCTTTGTTCTTTTTGCCGTGAACCAGATCCATCGTAAGAAGAAAAAAAACGCAATAGAACCTCTTCCTGGCCTTCCCCCCTTTGCCAACGCCAATGCAATGCAAGCAGAAATCAAATGGTACAGGCGGAGCCCGACAAGACGCCCGGTTGTGGCCTACCGAGGTCTTGGGGCAAACGACGTCCTATGAAGTAGTCGTGGTATCATGACCGTAGTGGTCTAGTCATATACGTCGGTTTTTAAAAGGAGTAGTAATTCGATACTGGTACACGAGATGAAACATCTCTGACCATGCCCATAAAGTGCATTTAGACTTTCCGGAAATCTGGAGCATGTGGCGTTAGCAATGCACCGTCTAAATAAAAGCAGAATGTAGTTGTTAAGAGTAGACAAACCTTGAAGCACAGGGTAGATCATTTCAAAAGCTTGGTAAATCTCCTCTCTCACTTTGGCACCCGTCAAGACAATCTTGCCGGAGACGAAAATGAGCAGCACAATCTTGGGCTTGATCATACGGTAAATCAGACCAGGGAACAGTTCAGGCTCGTAAGAGCTGAAGTTGTGATGGCGAGAGGCAAGACCTTCGAGACGGATAGGGAACTTGATGTCGCAAGAGCCGACAATATTCTGGATCTTGAAATCCGTAAACTTGGCGTTGAAGCCGAGCTTTTGGATGATACGCGCATATTTTCGAGAGGCCAGCTTAGAATCGTCCTCGGACTTGGCACCAGTAACAACCATCTTGCCGGAAGCGAAGATGAGAGCTGTTGTCTTGGGCTCGCGGATACGCATGATGACGGCAGCGAAACGCTGTATGCTGTTAGCACCCTTATGCCTCCATGAGAATCTCAGTGGGCCGCCATGTATTCACCTTTGGGTTGTACTCGGCGTTTCGTGCGTGCAGGGCAATCGTCTTCAAGTCCAATCGGCAGTCGAGATTCACGGTTGCCACGATGTTCCTTTGATTGCGAGATAAGTCTCAAGGAGCAGAACCAAGTGCACTCAAGTGTATACATACTGCAGAGTGGGTGTGATACCACTGGGACCCTGAGAGGCTGCAGGCGTGGCAGCGGGAGTTGCAGGAGTCACCCCGTTCCCATTTGCAGCCTGCTGACCGTTGGGAGCCATTCGCTGACTGCCATCGGGGTTGGTTGATGGTGGTGTGAGCTCGTTAGAGGCACCGGGGAACGACAGCGAGCCAGGAGCGGTAAAAGCCTTTGCCTGCGCGGCATTGGCCGGATGCGTTTGAATGCCCTCCATGATCGCGACTAGAGATCAGAAAGTTTGCGGCGAGGCTGCAACCCTAAACTGAGCAGGTCTATGCAGGAGATGATGTTAGCCACTTGCATATCCTGGAAACTATTGTTGCATCGAGGCAACCCAACAGATGAAAAAGAGAGAAGAAGCAAGTGATGATGTAGCTGCTGACAGGCACGAAAAGCAGAGCTCTGCGCTGCACAGGCTGAAAGCGAGATGAAAGAAAGATGAAGTTGGATGAAGGGAGGCGAAGTCGCGGTTTTGTTGCTGTGGCTGCTGCAGCGCCAGCTGGCAGACACGTGTTGTGTTTTGCCACAGCAGGGCGGTGCAGTGAATGAGGGAATGGAGGGAGAAAAAAAACACACAACACAGAGTTGTGGCCACCTACCTAAATGCGGGAGATGAACAAGTGAATGTCTCCCCTACAGAATGCTGCTCAAGCAGATATTTTTTTGGAGTCCTTGCGAATGCCGGGCGCAAACAGCAAGGTGGGTAGAATAGGTGAGAACGAAGGTCGGGCCTTGGAAAAAAGCGTTGGTCCAACAACCGAGACTCGGATCGTCTCGTCTTCACTTTCAAGCAATTTTTTTGGAGGTTATTTCTTTTTTAATTGCGTTCTACAGAACGAGGCAACGACTCGAAGGGCGACGACGACGGGCAGTACTTTGTATCGCTTTGAAGTCTTCGTCGGCGATCAACAAGATCGATTGCACCCGTGGGATTAGGGAGCGACGGCGTTAAGGAACGTGTTCCAGTTCTCTGTTATTGCCTGGTCGCAGGACGTCGACACCGTGCGACCTAAACGGAGCAGACTCGCTTATTCTGCTCGTTGATTTTCCTGACGCTTTTTAGAATTAAGGGAGAGGCTGTTCAAGGAACGTTGACGTCCGATGAAGAAGAGAGCGTGGATAGTAGGAAAAAAAGGTGGCAAGCGAAGCCTTTGAGGATATGTGGGGCGTGACGTCGTTGGAGGGGGAAAATATTAATGAGAGGGCCGAACGTGTGTGGGAGGTACGCAGGGCCGCCGGTCGGAACTTCCTCGCAAGAACGAGGAAACAGCGGATGGGGAAGGGCTGGGTACTTATAATTCTCGCTCCGGAAGGCCCAGGCAGGGCTCCCAGGCAACAACACCACCTGTGGCGTCGCCTCTGGCAGACCCGAGCTCAGCTTAGCGTGTGCACTAGGCCCCAGTGCGGCCAATCACAGGCCCGCGCCGCCGTGCTTTTATCTCCTTTGCCCACCACGGCTCACAAGGCCCCCTGAAGTATCGCGGTATCATGCAGAACCTCGCGGTACCAGCGCTGTGGCACCAGGATAACGGGGGGTGACGAGGGCGAGACAAAGGTGGGCAGGGGGGGCAGCTGGCGGTCACGGTGTCTGCTGCCAGGGCTTTTGAGGCCCAGCAAACGCACTTCTTCCAACCCGACCACTGCTTCATTTCACTTGCACTCTTTCTTCCTCTTTCTTCTTCCTTCGGCCTGCATCTCGACATGCAGCTTTTTTTTGCTGGTCTTTTGTTCGTCGTCCCTTACTGTACTGTGTGTGTTGCATGCAGTCGACGGGCAGCGCAGGCCCCTTTGCCACTCAACCATGCGTGCAGCTGCGATGCTATGCTCGCTGCCGTCCGCGGAAGCGACAAAGAGCGTACGATAAAAAAAAGCGAACCGTCTCGGACCCGTCAATCTCCTCTGGTCTCTCTAGCACCGCTCACTGCCTCCCTCTTCCACGACAAAAACGACAGCGCACATCGTCTCGGATGGCGAATACTATACTGGACTGGTCCCGATGGGGTGACGGGGAAATTCGCTTGACTCTGTTTTCCGTGTCCGAGTTTCCAGCCAGTTCTGTTGCTGGGGCGAGCGACGGTCAATCAGCCCCAGGCAAGTCGACGGGGCTGGCAGTGGACCCGGGTTGGTCGCGTCGCGCCCATTCGCCCCCCCTTTTCTGAGCTTTACCCACCAACCACTCCCTGAAATTGCGTCTTCGCCGCCCCCTCACCCACTGAACCACGTCCTTTCAGCGGCCACACCACAACAAGTTACTGCCTTGGAACAACACGAGCTTTGAAACACGCACCTTTGCCCCTGTTGCGTGGCCGGCCAAGATAAGCGACATGTGCTCACAGCTACAAACAGCCTGCGTCTCAGCATCGTCTCATGTCCGGCGGCAGCCAGACGAGGGCATTTGTGCTCTTGTGTCTGTGCCTGGGATGGAACCTGGAAGCGATTACGAGTCGCGTCGTACGGCCGCACACAGCAGAATTTTCTATGGTTCTGGTGGGCAAAGTCCGCTTGGGAGGAGGCAAAACTGGCACAAGGCGGCATCCTGGCGTTAGTGAGTCATTGCCTGTGAGCCAACCATGGGCCTTGAGCCGCATCCACCCAGCAATCTTGCTGTTTGCGGCCTTGTGAGTGGCTCCGGCGCCAAGTACTGGGTACCAGCTCGGCTGCCCGCTTGACGCGCCTCTCTGTCACCGTAACCTGTGTCTGCCCAATGGACTGGACGCGACAACGGGCTTCTCGACGCATGCACGAGTACAAGACCCATGAGGAGCCCTGTTGGCATTTTTTGCTCATTTTCCCATCGTCTCTTCTCACTTTTTTTCCATTCAATGTGGATAAGCGAGTGCGAGTTGCTGCTGATGGCCGTGTTCCGACAGCGTTGCGCCGTCCCCTCGTAGCCTGTTGCACCGGCGCAATCGCGGAAGTTTTGGATCGTTGTCACTGCTACATGGCCTGCGCGGCCCAAGTACCCCGTTAACAATTTTCCAACCCAGTGACCCCCAGCTGCTCAGCACGTTACACTTTGGTCCCTAGCGCCGCATCGCTGCCAGAACTGGATACTTTGGCCGCCTTTGGGTCCAGAAAAAATTTGCTTTCTCGCCTGCCCAGGCCCGTGTTGGTGTAGCATTGAGCGTGTCCAAGCAATTTCTCTCGTCGTCGTCACGACGTCAATAATTCACGCACAAAGAAGTTTGAGGCGAAGAGTGCTAAAAGAGCTAGGGAGGGAGGAAAAAAAATCTTTTCTTCCCTGCCTCTCTTTTTTCTCTCTTTGATGTCCAGAATCGTACTCGCTTGTAGTCGAAAGTAGCACTGCTGCTACGTCTCTCTGTACATGTACACGTTATCCTGCTCCGTTTGCCGAGTCGGGGCCTCTTTTGGGACACTTGTGCAGCAGACAGGAACGAACAAGAGGAATTCATGTTTCACTGCCAGCGGTACCTTTGGCATTCTGGCCTCTGTGCAGCTCTGAAATGCAACAAAAGAATGCACACACAATCCCTTTGGGACAACAGTGCATAGGCCAGCAAACAAATTGCCTTGCTGCCTCTTTTCTTTTCCTTCTCTTTCTTTTAATTTCTTTCTTCGTAGTCCTTTGTAGTTGCACCCTTCCTGCAAGACCCCGACTCAACATGCAGCATGAGGCGCAACGACACCAGCAAAAACGCTGCTCATTGATTGCATCACGTATAAATGACCATCCATGGATATTAAACCCCAAACCTGCTGAAAGACAAGGGACCCCCCAAAACGTTCCCCAGACTTGTAGAAAAAAAATCGAACCCACACACAAGCCCAGTGAGCGCTAGGCCATTGCGGAGCAGACCGATACACTTTTTTGACACATGCAAAATCAAGAAGCGGCCGCATCCACTCTCATATCAGCACTACTTAACTTGGGGCTGGTCTATCTGCGAGCCAATGCAAGAAGAAGCAAGCAGGAAGAAAAAAAAAACAAGGCGGTGATGAAGTGGACTCTAGCTTTTCCATTTGTGTACTACAAACTTTCGGTGAGATGATTTATTGCTTTCTTTGATATTTTGATAGTTGATTGCTTAAAGACACGTAACCACCTATATACTGTATTTCTCGACTCATACTATGATATACGAAGAACAAAGAAAAAAAAAAAGAAAATGTCAGCCTGACCGCCCTGTTTGATACTCCTCTCCCGCTCCCGCCAGCACCTATAAAAAACAGAAAAATAGAGAATGCTTTTTTTGGCTGGGCGTTTTCCATTCCCAGAACATGCATACATTGTACATATCAATACATCATATCAACCAGATCGTTTCTTTGTTGTGTGAATCACACCCTCTCCCCAACCGATTGCCTCTCATGTCATGTAATACTTGGGTCCTTCACCTCCCTGCGGAACTTGCCAGTTGATGTCCTGGTGGGGAGCCTTGATATCGCACGTCTTGCAGTGAATGCAGCTGTTTTTCACTGTTAGTCACATCAACTCCCCAAGGGAAAAGCAAAGGGAAGACAACAATAGTAAATGGGGGATGCAAACTCACTTTTGTGCGTTAATCTGGAATCGCACGCCGTGCGGTTTTGACTCGTCCTCGACGTACTCATACACTCCAGCCGGGCAGAAGCGGTTCTCCAGGCCCTTGAAAGTCGGATACGTCGTGTCAGTGTGGGCATCCCAGTCCTTGACCTGCAGGTGCACGGGCTGGTCCTCCTCGTGGTTGGTGCCCGTGCGAGACACGCTGGTCAAGATATCAAAGGTAATCTTGCCGTCGGGCTTCTCGTACTCAATCTTGGGGAACTTGTCGGCCGGCTTGGTCGACGCGTAGTCGGGCTTGCCGTGCTTAAATGTCCACGGGACGCGGCCCTTGAGGACGTACGCCTCCAGACCGGAGTAGGCGACGCCGCCGTAGACGCCGAGCGGGTTGTGCCACGAGGGCCGCATGTTGCGCACCTCCTTGAGCTCCTTCCAGATGGACGACTTGCGCAGCGCGTCCTCGTAGTCGTAGAGGAAGACGGTGCCCTCGCTGGAGTCGTTGAGGGCGTTCCACGCGGCCTCTGCGGCGAGCATGCCCGACTTCATGGCGTTGTGCGTGCCCTTGACCTTGGGCACGTTGACGAAGCCGGCGGAATCACCAATCAGGGCGCCGCCGGGGAAGGCAACCTTGGGTATGCTCTGGAAGCCACCTTCGACGAGGCCGCGGGCGCCGTAAGAGATGCATTTGCCGCCCTCGAGCACGTTCTTGAAGAGCGGGTGCAGCTTCAACTTCTGGAACTCCTGGTATGGGGAGAGCCAGGGGTTCTCGTAGTCCAGAGACACGACCAAGCCCAAGCTCACCAGGTTCTCGCCAAAATGGTACATGAAAGAGCCGCCATAGACGTCCTTTGGCAGGGGATAACCCATGGAGTGGACAATGAGACCCTTTTCGAACTTGGCAGGGTCAATCTCCCACACTTCCTTGACGCCCAAGCCGTACGTCTGGTGCTGGCTATCTCGTCGCAGGTCGAATTTGCCAACCACCTTCTTGGTCAAGCTACCGTGGCAACCCTCACCGAACATTGTGACTCTTGCGTGAAACTCCATGCCTCGCTCAAAGGAATCCTTGGGCTTGCCATCTCGTCCAATTCCCAGGTCGTTGGTGGCAACGCCCTTGACCGATCCATCAGTGTTGTAGAGAACCTCGGAGGCAGCGAAGCCGGGGTACAGCTCGACGCCAACCTCTTCCGCGCGCTCGCCGAGCCACTTGACAAACTGGTTCAAGCTGACAATGTAGTTGCCGTGGTTATTCATCTGGGGCGGCGCCGGGATCGGGATCGCAGCCGTCTTGGTGAGGAAGCGCATCTTGTCCTTGCCGGCCGGGGTCGCATGTTCGAACCGCGAAGGGTTGGCCTCGTCGAGCCAGTCGGGGATCAGCTCGTTGATGGCAGACGGCTGGATGACGGCGCCGGACAGGATGTGGGCGCCCACCTCGCCGGCCTTTTCCAGCACCAGCACCCGGAAGTCCTCGTTGCCCGCCTCGTTCGCCAGTTGCTTCAGCCGAATGGCGGCACTCAGCCCCGCGGGACCGGCGCCGATGATGCAGACGTCCACCTGGTCCGACTCTCGCTCAATGGTCGAGGGGTCGAAGGATTCGTCTTCGGCCGCCATCCGCAGTCGCATAGCGGTGCTGAAGGATCTGACAGCCGCAATTGGCATGCCAGATATTGAAGGCCGCATCGTGATGGGAGCTCTTCGAGCAGCCGCCAAAGGCCCGAGGAACCTTGCTGGCCGACATCTTGGAATCGCGCGGGTGGTGCGCAGGGCGCATCTCGACACAGGCGCTGGAGCCGGCATTGTGGTGACTTGGACTTTTGGAATTCCTCGCAGCTCCAAAGGCAAGCAATTGGCGAAAGAGTGGAAGAAGCTGGCCGGGGAAGAAAAGCTGCGACATCGACGTCAAGGACCGGCGCCGAGTTACTATTATCTGCCCAGCGATTGGCTACCAAGGTCCGACCTGATACCCGGGACTCATATAGCCGATTGCAGCCGGAGGGGCCTTGTACCTGTGCGGTACCTGGGGTAATGGGATCCCGGGCCGCAAACTGGTGGTTAAGCTCGGCTTATGAAGTAGCTCTTAGGTACTTTTTGGGCCAGAGTTTCGCTGCTGTCACAAGCCTGTAATAACCGACCCCAGAAAGTTCATTTGATGATATGATTTCAATATTTATTATGTCTACGATTTGAAGTATCTTCCAATCATGATGCTGAATGCTGACCGATGCCGCAGATACCATGCTCTCTTGGTGAAACCCAGGGTAAAAATTCTCACAAATTAAGCCCACCGGCTTCGATATCGGCGGCATTGTACGTTTAAAGCTGTGCGGCTAGTCTTATATCCTGCAGCTTCGCAGAGCTGCCTGAGGTACCCACGTACCGATCGGAACGACCCCATGGCGGGGATGACAAGCTCCCGAATAGGACGATTGATGTTTAATGCTAATGCTAATGATACAATAGTCTAGATAGTATCAATAATGCCTATCAGGGTACCTCCGTATTGCAAACCCAAGATGCGTGGTGAGCTGGCATTGTGGCATGTGACGCATGACCCGTGATAGGTTGACTTACCCGTGTCCAGCTTTGAGCTGTTCCAAGGTTACAAGTCCCCAAACCCGCTTGTACCTCGCTCGAAATAAGGCGGACCGTCTGTCTTAGCCGCGGTCCACAAGATGCGGTCTGCAGCCCATTCAATACAGAACAGGTTTAAGCCGAGATTAATACCCAGTGATGTAATCCGTTCATTGAATATCTGCCTTATTCATCTATTTCTTTACCCTCATGCAAATATACATGCGTGGCTCTAAGGTCGAGGTGCCGAGTAAAATCCGGATATTCAATCCCGAGGTACAGGGTAGTCTCGAAGCCAAATTCGACGCTACAAGAAACTCATATGTGTGATGATAAACAATCAACACCTATTACTTTTGAAACATTCATTTTGACTGAAAGGGGGTTAAGAATCTTGTCTCTGGCGCATTTATTATGTCTCGTAATAATCTGAAGCGTCGAAACAGGGATCCGGAGCGTATCCAGATGATCCCATAACGTCACGGGCCCATCATGCTGACTATCACATCCGTTCATCTCACCATCCCACTCCAGACTTGATAAACCAGTTCATGCTTATTTTGTTCGATATACATCAGCATCATAACAATAATTTTGATATCAAGTTGACTGAAGTTTATTGCCGTGAAGATCTCCAGGTGTTATGTATACTACTCGTCATAGCAGGAGGCTTACCTGACAAAGCAATCAAAGGCAAGTCACAAGAAGAGCGCGACATTATCCAGAGTGATCCTATTCTAATACTGTAATTCATATACAAGCCATACACCGACTCCTTGCAATCCAACTCTGTCTCCCGTCTATCGAAAAAGATGACCTAGCCCTAAAAGTCTAACTCAAATCAAACCCGGCCCCTGCCGTTATCGCGTAGAGCAATTTCTTTCGCAAAGTCGACTCCGACTTGTATATCGGCAGTTTTAACAAATTAACACACGTACTCGCGCTTGGTAGTCGTTCCTGGTCCGAGCTTCCATCCCGGATGGCAAACTTTGGATTCAGTTGCGCAAAGCCAAGCAGCGGTGCTCTTGGAGTCGACGTGACGTATTTGAGAACATCGCGCCTCTGAGCGTCCGTGAAGCCGTTCATAACGTTCCAGAACATCTTGATCGTGGGGTGTTCCTCCCCGTCATCGCCTATGGTATAAAGACCGCTGTAGACTGTGTTTTGGCGTAGGTTGTCAACGTCAATTGCCAACGAGTCGCCGCCAACCAAGCGCTGTAACTCAGACTGGTTAAACATCGACAGCCACGACGGCCGGATAATCTCGCGAAGTCCGCGCAGGAAAGCAGTCGTCTGGGGAGCCGGCTGCACGACCAGGCGGTGGCGAGCTGCGTATGATATGTATAGTAGGCGATTGTCATTGGTGACCACCATCTCATCACCACCAGGTACCAACTTCCTTGTGACAATCTCAACAGGATCGCCCGGTGCCGAGATCTGGTCCGTTATCGTAAAGTCAAGCCCCAGGGCCGAAACATCCCCGGAATAGTTTTTGAGGTGAAGGAGGCCCCTGTATAGCTCTTCGTCCATGTCTTGAAGATCGTTTACGCTACCCTTGTAACTGTTCTCTTCTTTTCGACTGGGCGACGGCCATTTCAAGAGGAAAAACCCGGCAAACGCAAGATCAACCAAAATGCCTTCATACATGCATTTTCCCACAATGCGGCCAAGAAATTCGTATCGTCTGAGCAGACCAGACACCGCCTCCCTCCACTCAGGATCGGATTCTGAAAACCCTTGCTTTCGCAGTGATTCGCGAAGCACATCCATAGCCGTGGGATTAGGATACAGCAGCTCTTTACCACTGGATGTGAACATTCCCAGTCCCCCTGCCCCGTTTCCAAAGGCTTCTGACGTAACGCTCGTTAGAAATTCTTTGGTAACACCGCCACCATCGATACCAGCTTCAGGGGTATCGAATTGGTCGACAAAGGTTATCTGGATGGGGTCCTTGAGGCCTTCTCCTAACTGGTAAAATTGCTCAAACGCATCCTCAAACAGCTGGCCACGACGGATTTTTGCGTGATGCCTTCCCACAGGAGCCATCAACATCACATGATTGCCGCCCCTGCGGATTCTGTCGAGGTTGACAAATTGTCGAAATATCATTACTCGCGTCTCAAACGGAACAACAAATGGGATGTGCTTTAATACCTCCAATTTAGGTCCCATCTCGGCGAGTCGTCGTTCCCTTTGGGCGCGCATCTGGTTAGCCTTGATCCTCTCCAGTCTGACATTACGAGAAAGCCGTTGCGCGGCAAAAGTTGAATGCAGTCCGTAACCATCATCAAACGAAGGCTCTTGACTGTCATCCGCCTCCATGTCACTATCATCAGCCTGTTCTTGAATCTGCCTCTCTTCTTCTGCTATGACGGCTCCAATGAAGTCTTCCTTCTCCAGTTTGCTCGTCATAAGCCAGTGATCTGCCGACAGAAAATGCTTCCTCGAGTCTCTCTCGTAGAGCATTTTCAGTGTCGTTGTAATGATGGCGCGAAGGCTCTCTAGATCGAGTTTGGTGGAGACGTCTGAGGCTGGGCTCTTGTTGGAGCCCCTGGCTTCCTCTGCGTTTCTTGACGAGTCTCCCCAGTATGAGTCCAACCGAGATTTTGTTGATGCCTCAAGAGCTGCTTGAGTCTGGGTGATCTCTTGAACACTATAATGCAGAGCAAATGCAGTATTTTTGAGGAAAGTGATGAGGGCCTCAACATCTTTCAATGCCAAGCTGCATGATCGAGTGCGTGACTTTGGTACATCGCTACTAATAACCTTGGGATAAATGCCGCTTAAAAAGTCTTCGTCATCGCTGATCCTTAGGATAAAAGTGTAAAGCTCCAAGAATAACAGAATTATTCTCCACTCTTGCTCTTCTGTATGCGACGAGGGCTGAGCTGGATTGCCATAGAAGTATCTGTGGAGTATTTTCGCTGGTCGCTCAGACTCTGCCCTTAATTTTTGGAACACCGAGGTCTTGGTCATCATCTGCCAGAGGTACTTGACAATGGGGACCTGCCCCTCTGCAGCAGGTATCTCCTCGAGAAACAGCCTCATGCGCGTATCGTCGGCTCTGCCGGGGAAGCTTTGAAGCAAGGCCAAGATATAACCAGCAAGGAGCTCACTTCCTTCGAGCTCTTGGGTTGTAGACTGTGCCAGGCTGGTGGAGAAGTCATGTAGCAGATTGGAAATGCCATTATTGTCAACGAGCCACAATAGTTGACGGGAAACGTAAGATGAGGAGGGGAATACAAGAGGCCCAGTAGTCAGGGCGTCGGGGTTTATTCGAATATTGATATCGGATGACAAAGCGGATAACTGTGTAAAAATGACCTTCAGATGAACTAGGTTTTGAGTTGAGCTCTTCTGAGCTCTGCTCAAATCAATATAATGAGCCAAGAGCCAGAAAAGGCGATCCTTTTCGGGCAAGGTGTCGGATTTATAGTTGTACGAATCCAGTATCTCCATTGCGAGCTTCTCCGTGTTGATGCCTTGGGCCATCTGGTCAATGTTTTCCTCAAAGAGATGGATATCTTGGGTTGTTAGAAATCGAAGCGCCAACGCCCTATATGCATTCGAATCTATGTACAGGCGAGTTAGTAACCGGTCTCATGCCACACATGAAAGAAGTGAAGCTACAATAGGACAACATACTGTTTCCCGCGCTTGCATCCAACGGTGCCGAGAGAGATCTGACCACGATTTCCACCCATTCTTGGTCGTGCCTTGTTTGGCAAAACTTGGCCAACGCCGTATAGTATTCATCGACCGATCCAAGTATCGTGAAAGGGAAGTTGGTGGCCAGGTGGTTGATCAGGAGTAGGAGATATTGTAGTTCCAATGACGTATTGCTAAGCAAGCTAAGTTAGCATGTCTGTGGTGTATTGCAAGCTTGCAGCATCTACTCATTGTACGTTTCTCGGAGGAGCAATTATAGACATACTCTTTGGAAACTGAAACACCCAAAGCTTGCACAAGCTTTACCATTAACTTTTGAAGGCGAGAAGGATGACGGCTGGCGTCGCTGAATTGCTGTAGAGATATACTATTACAGTCGTTGACGAATAAAGACAGACGTTGCATGTCGCCGGCTCGGTTGGACGAGAAGAAGGACAATAGGAGAGGGAAAGAAGCATATATCCTCCGAGAAGCATCGCTATCTGGTAGAGACTGATAGATGAGATCAAAGTCATGCCTGTGCTGGTCCCTCAAAGTCGACCGCGATCTATATCCTCGCCATGTTCTCTGTATCTGCGATGCCGCCTTCAGACGTCGCCTTTCGGCCTGTCGCTTTTCTCTGTCGGCCTGAGCATCCGAGACGGTCTTTGTAGCGTTCGAAACGGCCGAGGGCGTCCATGATGTGTTGGAGAACGGGTTGCTGGCTTGTCCGCTTAGGTTCACGTTCCTCGGCCGCCTCGAGTTGCCTGTGAAGGTTGAGAACATGGCGGCGGCTTGGACTTTGCTAGTAGCTACACACAGACATTAAGTGAGCACGGATAGAGATGCCACACAGACACCTTGAACGATGCTTCCGTGGTGTTGCGGTTGTTGTGGCGATTCTAGAAGATTCAGCCCTGAAGCTTTCATCAGTCATCAACCTGGATACGTCTTTGCTGCAGGCTGCCCATAGCATAGCATCATCACTGGTGGGGCAACATCCGGCGGGCTAGTGTCGCGTGCTGATAAGATAAGACGAGTTCCGCAATCAGGGTCACCGCCTTTGACATCCCACCAACACAGTGTGAAGGCGGATGTGAGTCCACTGTTACCCTTGTTTCGTGGGGAGTAAAAACAAAGGTGTGCAAGTAGCACCAAAAGGCAAATTCCAACTCATTCAGACTTTGCGTTTCCCGGTGGCCACTTGCGGCTGCGACTAGCAGAGACAAAGGCATGAGCACGAGAACAAGGCTTCTGCCACCGCCTCTCAGAATTTTCAAAGAGCAGACTTTGCATCACACCCTCTTCCAGATAGGCCGATTGTTAGCCTCGAGACTTGGCTGAGGCGGGGTTGCTGGTTTTTCTCTAACAAAGAGATGCACAAAGCGCGGAAGTTTCTGCTATCGGCTACTTTGCTATGCACGACAGCTGGTACCTTTTGGCTCATTCTTAGGATGCTTTAGTGGCAGCTCCGGCAGTGTCCTGCACTGTGCCGGACTGTGATACCCTAATAAATCTGGTAGGAAGTCACAACTCGCCGCTAAGGAGGCACGGAAGGTCACTCCACCGCTAGACAGGTTTAGCAGCCCAGCGAAAAAAAAAATGTCAAGTGGTTGAAAAATCTCTTTTTTTCCTCTTCTTCCACACAACGCCCAACTTTATCCCAAACAACACAAACCCATAAAAGGCAGGTTAGTTCAGAGGTACGGTCTTCGACCTAGTTCTCTGTTCTTGCTCTTTTCTTTTCAATCAAGAAAACCAAAAAAATTTGAAAAATCCAAAAAACCCTACCCACCACTTTCAAGCCCCCCCGCGACGTCGACGAGCAGTCACCGCAGAAAACAAAACAAAACAAAAAAAAACAAAACAAAACCTATCCTTTGAGACAACTCACCCCAGTTGCCTCTATCACCAAGTCGCTCAGCCTGCAGATTGTCTATTCTGACTCGCCGAGCACTCCTCTTTCTCATTCTCTTTCTGAATCAGTAAGTCTATACTGATTTCCGGGTATTCTGCTGGCAGAGTTCTCCCAGCGAACCACGTTGCTCTCTTCCTCCTCCTTTCAGCCGCTGACCCTGTCTCTTTGCAGCCTTGTTTGATACCGTGATTTAGTCAACCGATACAATGGCCGCCAACACCGCCTCGAACGCTGTTGACCAGCTCGCCAGCGATCTCAACAACACATCCCTCAATGGCAGCGGCGATGTCAAGGCTCCTGCCGTCGACACTGCCGTCAGCGCTGGTGCTGAGGATGCCTCTGCTCCTACCCCCACCACCGCTCCTCACCCCCAGAACTCGGCCTCTCTCTACGTTGGAGAGCTTGACCCCTCCGTCACTGAGGCCATGCTCTTTGAGCTCTTCTCTCAGATTGGAGCCGTTGCTTCCATCCGTGTCTGCCGTGACGCTGTCACCCGCCGCTCTCTTGGCTACGCCTATGTGAACTACAACTCCACCCCCGATGGCGAGAAGGCTCTGGAGGAGCTCAACTACACCCTCATCAAGGGCCGCCCTTGCCGTATCATGTGGTCCCAGCGTGACCCCGCTCTGCGCAAGACCGGCCAGGGCAATGTGTTCATCAAGAACTTGGACGTTGCCATTGATAACAAGGCTCTCCACGACACCTTTGCTGCCTTTGGCAACATTCTCAGCTGCAAGGTCGCCCAGGATGAGAACGGAAACTCCAAGGGATACGGTTTCGTTCACTACGAGACCGATGAGGCTGCTGCTCAGGCCATCAAGCATGTCAACGGCATGCTGCTCAACGAGAAGAAGGTCTACGTCGGCTACCACATCCCCAAGAAGGACCGCCAGAGCAAGTTCGAGGAGATGAAGGCCAACTTCACCAACGTTTACGTGAAGAATATTGGACCTGATGTCACCGACGACGAGTTCCGTGAGCTGTTTGAGAAGTTTGGCGATGTTACCTCATCTTCTCTGGCCCGCGACCAGGAGGGCAAGCCTCGCGGTTTCGGCTTCGTCAACTTCACCACCCACGAGGCTGCTTACAAGGCTGTTGAGGACCTCAACGGCAAGGACTTCCGCGGCCAGGAGCTCTATGTTGGCCGTGCCCAGAAGAAGCATGAGCGTGAAGAGGAGCTGCGAAAGTCTTATGAGGCCGCGCGCCTTGAGAAGGCCAACAAGTACCAGGGTGTCAACCTGTACATCAAGAACCTTGATGACGACGTTGACGATGAGAAGCTCCGACAGATGTTCGCCGAGTTTGGCCCCATCACCTCTGCCAAGGTCATGAGGGACACCCCTCAGGAGGGCGACGAGGAGGTCAAGGACCAGGAGAAGGACAAGGAGAACCAGAAGGAGCCCGAGAACGAGGCCGAGTCTGCCGAGAGCGCTGAGAAGAAGGCCGAAAAGAAGGGCGACAAAAAGCTCGGTAAGAGCAAGGGCTTCGGCTTCGTCTGCTTCAGCAACCCCGACGATGCCACCAAGGCTGTTGCCGAGATGAACCAGAGGATGATCAACAACAAGCCTCTGTACGTTGCTCTCGCCCAGCGCAAGGACGTCCGCAAGAGCCAGCTTGAGGCTAGTATCCAGGCTCGCAACCAACTGCGGATGCAGCAGGCCGCGGCGGCAGCTGGTATGCCGCAGCAGTACATGCAGCCCCCCGTTTTCTATGCTCCTGGCCAGCAGCCAGGCTTCATCCCCCAGGGTGGCCGTGGCATGCCTTTCCCCCAGCCCGGAATGCCTCTTCCCAACGTCCAGGGAGGTCGCCCTGGCCAGTTCCCCGGATACCCCCAGCAGGGTGGCCGCAACGTTCCCCAGGGAATCCCCCCCAACATGTACGGCATCCCCGGCCAGTTCCCTCCTCAGTTTGGACAGCCCGGAACTCCTCAGTTCATGGCTGCCATGCAGCAGGCTCAGCAGCAGGCCGCCGCTCTTGCTGGAGGCCGTGGTGGCGCTCCTCAGGGTGGTCGTGGTAACATCGCCGGCATGCCTCCTAATGTCCAGGGTGGAATGCCTGGCTACCCCCCCAACAACCGCCAGAACATGGGCCGCAACAACAACGGCGGTAACAACAACGCTGGTCGCAACGGCAACTTCCCTAACCAGCCTGCTCGCGACAACAACACTTCCTCTCTGCTCCAGTCTCAGCTTGCTGCTGCCCAGCCTGCTCAGCAGAAGCAGATTCTTGGAGAGCTGATCTTCCCCAAGATTCAGGCCATCAACTCTGAACTTGCTGGCAAGATCACTGGTATGCTCTTGGAGATGGACAACTCCGAGCTTGTCAACCTGTAAGCTTCCCTCCCCCCTTTTTTTCTTGGAGACGACTTTGTAATACTGACTTTTCCACCCTAGCATTGAGGATGAAGCTGCCCTGAAGGCCAAGGTTGACGAGGCGCTGGCCGTCTACGACGAATACGTCAAGTCCCAGGCTACTGGTACCGAGAAGAAGGAGGAGGAGACCAAGGCTTAGGTAGAGCCGGTCTTGCCGCCTTTGACACGCAACATCGTTTCCTTTGTCGTTTAAAAATTTGACTACGGTGCGAGATGGACTCAAAAGTCACCGAATGATAACGTGGGATGCAATATGATAGCCACGGTTGCCCAGTCTATTGCATCATGTAAGGATAGACTTATTTGCTATATTTTTTCTCAAGGATGGACAAAAGTTGTGTGGTTTGGAAGGTGGTATTTTCGGAATGCGGGAAAGCCGCCTTGCCCTGGCCGGGACGAAAAAACGTCGCCGGCAAAAAAATCAGGCTCACCGGGATGGCGTTGCGGGTTTTATGAAGGCTGCCTCTGGGCTATACCCCCATGAACATGGTCCACTCTCACTGGCAAAAATAACGGAGGCAGGGGCTGATACGGATAGGACTCTAGGAATTTTCTAATAGATAACATGTTCTTAAACAATTTGTGTGTGTGTGCCTTATTAAACTGTGAATGGTGAAGTGTGGAGTTGTGAACCTCCTTTTGATCTAGACATCCAATGACTTGTTACAGCTGGATTTATACGAACATTACTTACGCATTCTATTATCGAGAAAAGAGTTCTTGTATAGACGAGACGTTGTAAAGGATACGAAATTGCTTTCAATTGACACTGCCAAACCTAGAAGGTAGAACTACTGGTTACATACCCAACCAAGCCCAGCGCCCCGACCAAGAACGTGTTCACGTTTTTATCTAAGAAAGGCGAACCTTGGCACCGAGTTGTAAAATAAATGAAAAAGGAAAGAAGAAAGAAGAAAATAACGCCCTGCCCTTTGACCGATAACTGGAAATACACAAAATACCACACATGCCGAGTACATTTGAGATACTACAATATGTGAGAACATGAGATAGATAGAAATGTAAGGAGAGTTTTTGAGGAGGAAAATAGGAAGGAGAGGAAAGGATTTCGCTTGACTTGCAGGTAAACTCACAGAAACAAAAAGAAAGAAGAAACGCCATATGAAGAGAAGAACAATCCACGCCCAGATATGAAGCAAAAGGAAAAAGGAGAGAAGAAAAAGAAAAAAAAAGAAGAAGAGAAAAAAGGAATGAAGAAGAAAAGAACATCTATGTGAAAAACTTTTTTGGTTGTTCCGGCTTTTCACCTAAATGTGCGCTCCCTTATTTCCTGCCACTCCCCCCTTGAAAATGAAAAACCACCAAAATCGAAAGAGTAAAAGCAGAAATAAGAGATAAAATGATAGTATATACTTACCGTTCCCCGTTGCAGCGCCGTAAAAATGGTGGTTGCCAAGCTAGCCACCCCCTTTACCCTTTGGTCCTTTGCCTAGCCATGCCTTTGGTTGCCTTAAACCGATACAAAACAACAGATACAATTAAAAATAGAAGAAGAACAGTAACTCCACTAGAGTGTGTCGCTGGCCAAATAAACACACGCTGTTGGCGATGAGGCCATGCTGTTGTGCCTGACATGGAAGATGAAAAATAAGGATAAATAGCAGAGAAGTTTTGTATATCCCCTCCCCCAGAACAGAATGATTGATTCAACGCCTTTAGAAAAAAAGACAAGAAAACAAAACACACAAATAAAGGGGGGAGGAGGACTACGAATCTCTGAGGAAGTCGCCCCGGCCATCCTCGAGTCGTAGACTTCTAGGCTGCTGCTTGCTCGGCACGCTGGCGTAAAGCGTTTCTAGAACCTTTCCCTTCTGCTGGCGTCGAATCTCCGAGAGATGATCCCTCACGCCAGACAAACTGTCGATCTGGTCCTCGAGAGTCAGGATGGTGGCATTGGTGCCGCGGACGAGCGGCGAGATGAGCTTGGTGCGGAGCCCTTCGAGCGAAGTCTGTAGCGACAAGAGCTTGCTATGATGGTTGACCAGGATGCCCTTGTTGCGCACAGTCTTTTCCCTCACGTCGCGGAGGAGCACGCGGTTCTGTTCAAACTTGCGCAACTCGGCGGCGCGCGTGCCCAGAATGCGCACCCACAAGCTGGCTAGCATGTCGCTGTGAAGCTCTTCCTGGGCGGAAGTCTCGCGCGCGACGGTTCGCGCAAGGTTGAGAAAATGCTGGTCGATGCTGTTGAAGAGACCGTAGAGATTCATACTATAGCGAAGCTCCTCTCGAACACTCTCCTCGAGAACCGACAGGAATTCGTTGAACAGTAGCTGGACCATTCGTTGCTCGCGCTGCGGGTTGCTTAGTCCAAAGACGTACGTAGTAATCGTGCCGATCGGCGTGGGAGCACCGGAGGCGTCCTCGAGGACATGAGCCTCAGAAAGCATATTGTGGATGTTATCGTAAGCGGAGGAGAGGGTGGAAGGAGAAGGAGCGCTCTGGAGGCGATTGAGATGCATCTTGGCCCAATCCATGACATTGAGGATGCTGTTGTACAACGAGGCGCAAACGCCCATGTCAACCTTTGCTGTTTGCTTCTCTCGACACACCAGGGTCACACGAGGAGTAAGGAAAGGGAAGAAGACTCAATTGGGAGATGGGGTAGGATGAAAGAAAGATGAGACGATAAGAATAAGAGAGGGAGGAGGGATTGCTATCCATTGACTTACCCGTCAATGTCACCATCGACAACAGCGAAAAACTTGGTCATCTCGGTCGCAAGTGTCTTCATTGCGCCGCTGAGAGCGTCGAGGTCGGAAACGATGAGCGACGCATCCTTCATTCCACTGGTCCGTACCGTCTCCCCAAGGTCCCAGACAGCGACGCTGGTGGCCTGCAAGTCGTGCACCTGCGTAATGGCATGCTCCGAATAGTAAATGAGCGGCTCAAAGGAGCGCGCAATGCCAGCGACCTTGACAAGATCGCCGACCGGCCGCGGTGCAGGCTCCTGGATGAGCGTCTTGAACATTGTGATGCTGCAGACGGCGAGGAGCACACTAAACAGGGTAGACGTCCATGACGCAGTGAGAGCGGCGTAGCGTTTACGGATGAAAGCAATGGCTGTTTCAATTGGTTCGGTTCGCTGCTGGACTTCAGCGCGCACGGCGAAGCGGATGTCTATCATAAAAAAGACAACACAGTCAGGCGCCAAGTCTAAGTCTGATGATACCAAGACGAAGACGCAGATGCAGATGGGCCGCGCCAGGCAGAGCAGGCAGCAGCGGCAGCGGCAGCAGCAGCAGGCAAGGAAAATGCGCGGCGCAACTTACAGTTATCCGTCGGCGGCGGCGACTCCAGTATCCTCTCGAGAACGGGCGGGGTCGGTGCCTCGAGTCGCAATGTGCCGCTCCTGTTTCCCTCTGGACTCCGACTCCTCACCTTGTCCGGGCTCATGCTGCCGGTTGGGAGCCTCGTGCGGATCGCCCTCTGCAAAATATCGTTCTGGTTGTCCAGGTCGTGGTCCAGGTCGTCATCGTCATCGTCGTCGTCGTCGCGATCGCTAAACGGGGTGTTGCGCATGGCCAGGCGCATCGGAGCCATTGCGCCGAGCGCATCATGCGACGGCGGCCGCCAGAAACCGTTGCTTCGACTACCGTTGGCGAGCCTCCGCCACGCTGGAGGAGAATAGGAACCTGCGGACGCGACGTCCAGGTCCGCTAGGAGATCGTCCTCTATCGCCGCTTCGCTGGGGGGGAGAACGGATGAGTTCCTCGTCGTAGATAGCAGCGGGCTTGCCGGAGTCTCGAAATCCCGTAATGAGGCGTCGAGCCTTTCTTGGGGATCGGCCATGGTCGCTCTCTTTGGCGTAGTAGTCCCTCTCCTTGTAGTCCTTGTAGTGGTCCTTGGGTTCCTTTCTGAAGCGGTCTTTGAATGATGAGGATGTTGAGTCCTTCCTGTCGCGGCGGTAGACGGTCAGCGACTGGTCGCGCAGTACAAGCTGTCGGGAGGGCGAGATGGGCGACGGCGGCAATGTGTTGTCGTTGGTGTTTGCGGCGGTTAAGAAGCGCGGTAGGGTGATTCGTGGCAGGTTGAACGATGGCAGCTGTGGAAGATAGAAGCTGACGAAGACGAGAATAACAAGCAGCGCAGCCAGAAAGGTGCTGGGAGTGACAGTGACGCTGATCAGGGAGACCTGCTGATTCACCGTCAAAAGCGAATACATGGGAGAGTCTGAGGGCGGACAAGGCCCAGCGGGATGGGACTAAAGAAAGGTGTGTCGGTCGGTAGTCGGCCGTGGGCTTGGCCTGGCCTTGCAACTCCAGTCAGTCTTCGCGTTGTCCAGACCCCGGCAGTGCGGTAGGTGTATGTGTACGCCGTGTGTCTGTCTGGATGGAGTATGTGCGAATGTACACGGTACTAGTTATCCGTAGGCGTGGTTGGAATGACTGGCAGGTTGGGGAAAAGGGTCGGTCGACCCAGGCAGGCTTTCTTCCCAAGGTCGACGAGCTAAATACCTTAGATAGTCCCGCTCGGTCGATTCCGCAGTGGCCTGCAAGGAGAGAACTGGAGAAAGAGAAGAGGGAAGACGTCAGGAAATCCGAACAACCCTGGTACTGGCACTGGCAGTGGAAGTGGGCAGCGATCGATGGTGCGGGAGAGCGGCAGACGGGCGATGAATCGTCGGCTTGTCCTTGCTTTTTTTTCGGCGTCTTCTTATTTCCAACTTGCAACGGCGTCAGCGTCGGCTATTCTTCTTTTTTCCCCTCTTGTTCGGTTCTTGTTTTTGTTTTGGACTTGTTTCCGAACAATCGTCTTTCCCTTGCTCTGACTCTGCAAAAAAGCCCAGATCCCCTCCCCCTTCGTACCCAACTCTGAGCTTCCTCTCCCAACACTGGGACTCGACCCAAGCCCCCAGCCCTGCAGTCGTGACTGGAAGATTGGCGCCAGCCCCGGCAGCGGCCACTCCCCTTCGCGCAATGGCTGACCGTGTTGGGGTGGCAGCAATCGTGAGAGGCTGGGCCGCCCTCGTGGCACGACATTGACCCAGCCGGCGCGGCCAATCAGGCGTGCTGCTCACATCTCCGTCCGCCGTTTCAGACCATCTGAACAGGCCACCCCCCTCCCCTTGGTTGAGTCGCTCTGCTCTGCTCGCTCTCCCTGGGGGACCCAGCAGTGTCTTGCCTTTCCCTTCTCCTCCCCCCTCCGCCATGATCCGTCCATGGTCCCTCCAGCTCGAACCCCCACCTGGCAATGCAATGCCTGGCTGGTGTCTGCCTGTCCTTGCTGTCAATCCGCCATGGCCCCAGAACAGAACGGGCAGAGTGTCAGGATGCCACCATGGCGGGCTGCAGCAGCACTACTGTACCGTACTCTACTCGTATGTGCCGTGTCCTCCATGCAACCGCAGAAAGAGCCGGAATAGCGTGAGAGAGCGCAATCCGCTCATTCGTCGATGCAGCCATAGCTTACCTGCAGCATCGCATCAACAGCAATGACAAGATACGGCTGGCTGGTGGCGGTTTTGTTCTTGGTCTTGTCTGTCTGCTGCTTCAATGCTATTGCTCGCTCCAGTCCGTCCATCTTCCCGCCCTCTGGCCCTTTCCAGCCACTAGGCTGCTCCCGTTATCTTATCACCCCGCAATTAGTGGGCTTCTTCTTCTCCTTCTCCCCAAGCCGAGCTTCGCCACCCCTCCATGATGAAAAGCAGCCTGTCCTGTGGCATCTCGCACCTCTCCCGTCTCTTCGGCCTACTTTCTCCGTGGCTAGACTAATTGATATGTACGAGTAGAAGTACATGCACGCACTTTGCAGTTGGCATCGCCCCGTTGTTTTCAGACAAGCCAAGCTACAGTATCTCGTGGGATATGCCACACCACCCCTCCTTGCCTCCCTTGAGCTGGCCTGGCGCCCATTCTTTGCTTTTTTCCCTCGCTTGCTCGCTTTTCCTCATCCGAGGGCGAGACAAAAAAGGGTGCAGGAAGTCAGACCCAAGGGAAACTAAACTAACTCACTTAGTAGTGCCACAACCGCAGAAAATCTAAGCTTTCTGGACGGGAGAGGCGCCCGCAGAAAAAAAGAAAGGAAAAAAGACATGCCACCACACTCGCAGTCGATCCTCGTCACCCGCGGATCGTCCAAAGGTGCGGACCCTTCTGATTCCCCTCCATCCTTGTAAGTCTTAGAAGCCAGATGCCTTCCTACGGATACTGCATCTTAGCACCCTTATTCCACTCCGTCGACTTGTCTTTGTAGAGACTAGGTACGCTGTACATTCCACTCGAATGCTCCATCGATCTACCAAGCAGGTACTCCATACCTTAGCAAATACCTTACCTTACCTTACCTTACTTTAATATTCCTATTCCCGTGCAGCATCAACCATCACCAAAAAGACGCCCCACCCAGTCTCTGCCAAAAACCCGAGCTAAACAGAGTCACATGAGAAGTCATCTCTCACCGTACGCTCAACAATGCTTCTACGGGCAGTTATACGGCACTTTGCTGATTATGGCTCATA